TGTCTACTCAAATTATGGCTTCATATTGGATTTCTCTACTGTACAAAAAAAGACAATATTTTAAATATATGAAGCCTTTTAGCTTGTCATATCCCGTTAGTTAGGTGGCCTATATGTCTCCAGAGGATTTGTCTTTTGTATTTTTGCTATTTTTGGTACTTTTGATATGATTGGTATTTTGTGTATGTTTGATATTTTTTGTGTTTTTTGTATTTTTGATATTTTTGGTATGTCTTTGGTATTTTGGGTATTTTTGATATGTTCGGTATTTTGTATTTTTTGTATTTCCTCTAGGTCTTTTGTATTTAATATATTTTTGGTATGTTTGATATTTTTTGTATTTCCTCTAGGTCTTTGGAATTCACATTTTCTCACGTGCATAGGAAATACTTAAATTTTTGAGATTTTCCTCTGCATATGTAACACTGAAAAATACACACGCTCACAGCGCTGGTTTCTGTTTTCAAAAGGTCCGTGAACAACTGTCGCTTCCGTGAGCGCTCCTCCGACTTCTCATATTCGTGAGAATGAACTCCCCCCGGTGCATGGCAAAGATGAGTGAATCCATACCTTTACACTTGAACCTACCGATCCCAAGGCTTCCGAAAGTGCAAGAACAGTTGGCTCTTTCTCAAATCAACAGCTTCGGTCACCCTCCAGGCATGATGACCTTCCTTTGTCATCCACTTTGAGGACAAGACGCTATCCTCTTCACAGCAAAGCTCAACAAGCAAAAATTGTGTTCCCATTGGAAGCCCGAAGATAGTCTCTGTCACGCTCGAAATCAACACCTCTAACTGCTCGTCTTTCGAATCTTTCTCAGACCCGTCTTCACCAACAACACCCTTTTCCACGATCACTTCGCGATCTGCTTTCGGCTTTGAACTTGGCGAACTCGATGATGTAGACACACTCTTCTTTTTGCTATTCTTTTGATCCGTCATGCTTAGGTCTAGGTCAAAAGGCTTGCGCGTAGCAACAATCCCGAGATCCTTCCGATATCCCATTTGTGTCAGTGCATCAAGCACTTTGGTCAATGTGTCACTTGGATTCTCACTTCCTTTCACCCACAACAAGCGAAGAATACCCCGGCCGATCACGTGTTGCAAAAACTCCCAACGAATCTCGGCATGCCTCAACCGCCTTTGGACATCCATTCGGTGTGAAATGAATTGCTTACCTCCGACACCTTTGCCTTTGCTTTTCCCTTTTTCTTTTTCTTTGCCCTTAGTTGCGTCTCTTAGCAGCCCTGTCAACATTTCTTCGCCTGACCTTCTGAGAGAATTCAAAAGGCTGAGCAGCATTCTTTCGTTTCCTCAAGAGTTTAGCACTGGCTTGGACGGCAACACGACTAGAATCACGTCTCGGATGCTTCGTCTTATAATGGTGAGCCACCGCCTTCTCATGATCCCAATTGGCCAACTGGGATGTGTGGTGACTGGAATGGTGCCTGCGATGGTGTCGGAGGTGGAGTTGGGGTGGGGTGGGCATTGCCGATGGTGGTGTTGGTGGTACCCTTGGTGCCTGAACAGGTGGGAAAGCTGAATAAGGCGCGGATTGCCAAACACCTTGAACTGAATCCGAATGGATGGTCTGTGGCGGCTGAGCGGGCTGAGATGGTGGTGGTGTATGGTGTGGCCGTGACAGGTATGGCTGCAGGTGGTTGTGATCACTGTGATACTCGGTTCACAGGTCATTGGTGGGTTGGGGTGCATGTATACTGGGACCTGTGCCATTGGAAAAGGCTGGTGGCATGATGGGCTGTGTTGTGCCAAACAGAGTCTGTGGCGGGCAGCTTGAGTGTGGAGCTGACATGTCCGGTGGTTGCGGCTGCAGATGTGGAGGTGGGTTGGTCTGCGGCGGCGGCTGTAGCTGCGGCTGTGGATGTGGAAAAGGCTGTGGTAGTAATGGTGGCATGGTGGCCTGTGTGGTTGGAGGTGGATAGGCTGGCTGTGTTTGCGATGTCTGTTGGAGTGTGGGCGGGTATGGCCAAGGGTACTGCATATTGGCAACGCTCTGTTGTCGTCTGCACTCTGTGCGGCTGCCAGCAGCAGAGCGGCGCTGCACGGGATGGTGAAACTGAAAAGGCACGGGGCAATGATCGCGTCTTGAACGAGTGAAAGTCTGATGCAAAAGTCATGTCTGGAACTGGTTGGTCATGAAATGAAAAGTGAACATCAAAAGTCACATGAATGCAGGCATAGAATTCCAGTGATGATTCACCGTGTGCTCGGCAGCATAGTGCTCAATTGATTCGTGAAAAAACCACTGAGCAGAAATCGGCTTCCAGTGGAGAAAACACAGATTCAGTGAACGAATTCCGGAGTGGTCTCGGCGCCCCTTGCGGGGATCACACTGCACACCCAAGTGGGAAGATGCAGGTGAGGGAACGTACCAACCAGTCGAAGTTCAGTTAAGCAATGCGCTTGACTCTAGGAGTTAGTTAGTGCAAGCCGCAAGGATGCTGGGTCGGTAAACTTGAAGGTGTTTGAACAATGCAAAGCAAAAACTCGCGCAGCAGCTCATCAGCAGGTGGGAGAAGAAGAAACCTACGATACCGGGAAAAATAGCCTGCAAGAGGGTGGACCAGCGGAGTCAGTGTGTTGTCAAGCAGGTACAGGATCAAGCGTCCTTGATCCCTTCCCATCTGTGATCTTAGCTTCGTTGCGTGCATTAGATCACAGATGCTGCACGTCCCTGCTGAAACTGAAAAGGTGGAGGACCCCTGGGGACGGGGTGTGGTTCACACACACACACACATGCAACGATTGAGCTTGAGCGCATCGGCACCAGTGGATTGGAGAGACAGAGCTTGTCAATGCTTATCTCATCACTGATTAGTACATTGCAGTATACACATGCTAAATCGAATCGAAGAAAGGAACATGGGAATATCCTGTCTGAGAGCTTTTCAGCACCAGCACCATGTGGAGCTTGATGATTTGGTAGGAGCTACAGTGGTTCATCTCACGCAGTCCAATAAAAAACACCAAATAAGGTGCCTCGACATCCTTCACCTCTTTGTGAATGATGACATCCACCTCATCATCGTCGCCCCAGTCGCCCTCTTCGGCTGCAAATCTCAAATCCATGGCCTTGAGGTGATGGTGAACTACCTTTGTAAGGCCATTTATGGTGAACTACAGTACTACCTTTGGTTCTCTTGAGATCATGATGATGATGATGATGGTGGTGATGATGATGATGATGATGATTGCTGTTGTTTCTCAAGAGAACCCAGCACGATATCCTTCTAGCTAACAAATTCTTTGCTTACTCCCCTCCAGAGCAGCGCTGTATTGCAGCTACCTTCAGGTCGGATGGCCAATTCACCCAGCGGAAGGCTCTGCGGCTCTGTTGCTCTATCCTTGGAAAAATTATTCTGCAACTGTCACTGGGCGAGAACAGATCTGCCTTCGGATTTCTTCGACCCCACTTCAGAAAGAAAGGAGTAAACCACTTTGGATTTGATGTAAATCTATTCCACTTCAGGAACCGAACCATCCACCGTCCCTTCCACCTGGGGGAACTGCTTGGCTGGGTGAAACTCATCGCCGTGAGCGGAGCCTTCGAGGTGAAACCAACCCAAGGTGGTCACTGGGAAGTTCAAGACCACTCCCGCGAATCATCTGCTTGAAGAGATCTGAAAACAAACCCAAGCCCTGTTATATCACCAAATCCTGCTTGTTGGGAGAGCATGGCCATGGCTTGATTTTGGCATGCCAAACAGACCATGTAACAAGGCCCTAGCACCGACAAAGCCGGTCGATCGCGTCGGCCGGGCAGCGGAGCGGCGTCGCGTCCCGAACAGGGCAAGAACAGCCTCCTACCAGGACCCCTGCTGAACGAGCGAAGGGCGTCTATTTCTTTTAAGGTCCCTGAAGCGATGCAGACTCGCGAGGAGTCATCTTTTTCAGTTTGGACTGCACTGATTAGATGGCCCCCAGAGAATTCTGCGAGAGAACTGCAGAAGCTCTGAAGAAAAGACCCTGTGACTGTTGCATGTCTATCTATCTGTGTGCCGATTAAGCCCGAAAATGTCGTTGATCAGCTTCGCCATACTTGCCTAGTTCCATCCAGAAAGCCTCATGATTACAAAAAAGAGACAACCGTCTATGGAGACCTCCATTGCTATGGACTTCAATCTCACTCTTCATTCTGCTCCTCCTTCGGTTCTGCCATCCCTGTCCCGTTAACGTGGCTGCGAAGGGGTACTTGGCATTCGGTGGGCTGTGTCTTCTCCATCGGAAGTATCGAAAGGAACCCCGAGGCACCAAGCAACCCCGAGGTCTTTGGCAATGTCCCGTGATGTTAGAGACACCACGAAAGAAAGAAAGAAAGAGAGAGAGAGAGAGAGCAAGTCCAGGTCAGGTCAGAATTCTCAACATGGTCACCCAGGGCGCTTGGTGGTGAACATATACACCCTTTAAAATTACCATGGAACCTGAAAACTACTGGGTTGTAGAGGAAAATAGTCCATTTTCAGGTTCCATGTTAATCTTCCCGGGTGCAATTAAAAAAAAGGAGACCTCTTGCAGACCCCGTCTTGTGGAGACCAACGCAGGTGCGGAGGAACCTCCGATGCCTGTCCCCCACTGACTGGGGCACGGATGCCGTGTGAAGTCTCTAACGATACCGCCCGATACGGTTGATCGACCCTCATAATAGGTCACACTAGAAGTGATTGTTGCTTGTTTTCTTGGTACACAAATAGTCGATCTACAACTTGACGGTGTTCCCGGCAAAGGATCTTGCCCAATGAACTGTCTTGCGTTTCGAACACTCAGATGGGTCTTTGAGATGCATCTAGGCAGACATGAGCCTCCCATATTCACACTGGGGGCTTCGTTGAAGAGATATATTATATCTACAGTATATATATATATATATGTATGTCTTGGCCCCCGTACCCGTACCCCTTCAAAATTTCTTCACGAGGTTTTGACCCACAAGCTCCCCATGAAATTGACACATCATGCAAACGCTCGGTTTGTCTGCGCCTCCAAACTGGCTGTAAGTGCTCTGTGGGTAAGGCCTTAGAGCTGGAGGCTTGGGAAATTGATCTAACCCAATATGTCCACCATGGGTGACAGGGACCGTGGCCTCCTGCTTGAACTGAAAGAGCCCTCCATGGTCCAGTTCGGTGAAAAGACCAGGTCCGACTTCAGATCACTTCTTCCCCACCAGAGCCTTGTGCTGGAGCCCTGCAGATCTTGAGGACTCCCCGCCCGCAACGTCCAAACCACTGGTGAGTGACAACCGCCGTTCGTTGGGTATAGAGATCATGTGTGGGTCAGCCTGGTCAGCCAGACGTCCTGCTTTGTGTCTGCCTCCAACAGCTGGACCACGCTTTGAAGTCCGACCCTGAGTCGACCACTGCTGTGTAGAGGAAGCGTTAAACCCACTGCATGTTTCAGGTTCCACTGAAACCGTACCTGGGGGGACGGGCAGTGGGGAGTACACTCCCTGGAAATAATCACGGTGACGTGGGTGGCGACCCTGGGATGACCATGTTCCTCTACAAAACCAGGTGGTTTTCACTCCGCGCAACCATGATTCTTGCAGGATTCATGGTATGTCTGCCGCGGCGCCTCCACACCGGTGAAGGAGTGTGCTCGTGGGTGCCCCAACGATGAGGTCGCTGAGGCCCGACTCTTGCTGGGCGTGGCCTTTTTCCGTGACCGTTTCGGTGGCCGTGAAACGGTGGCGGAACGGGGGGAAGCACCGAGTCGACCTGTAGCGCTGACATGAGATGAATGTGAACAAAAGGAAGCTCTGCCCGAAATGAACACCCAAATGCATTCTCCTGAGAAAGCTGGGATCCGTCGGGGGCTGGCGAGGGGTTGACAGGAGTTTGGGCAGCTGGCGGATGAGGTTCTGGGGGTTGAAGGACCCTCAATGCAGGATGGCTGGGGATGGGATGCCAACATCTGAAGGTACAGCAAGATAGATGTCATCCTCTACGGTTTTCTTGTGAAATGCATGTAAAGCCCACACACCCATGCCATCCACCCTTACCAGCAAGAGTTTTGTTGGGACTTCTGCGGCGGAGATGCTCCATTACATGCATGGTCTGATGCTTATCAAGGATCACATTATCACTAGCCACAGTCAACACATTATCACCACCATGCCATATCTCTGGCTGTTCATGACAGAAGAATCCTGCACCACCTGTGTCCTTTTCAAAGTGAGTGCCCCAAACCGCATGTATTGGCAAAACATGTGAATGTTCCAAACAAAATGTAGGACTTCTGTCTTCAGCTGCCGGAAGCTGCAAGAATCAAACCCCCTCAGCTTCGCTCGGTGGAGTGGAAGCTGTAGGCACCTGACCACTCCATCCGCGCTCGGCGCGGTGGGGGCGCGGCTGGTGGAGAAGCGGGGGGGGGTCTCACAGACTCGTCGCCAAACCCATGGATCAACGTCTAGAGCCGGAGGAGCCGTTTTCCTAGGTAAAGCCCACTATGTAAAAGCCCAGTTTTTCTGTGGACCAAACAGGTGACCCTGTGGATGATGTGGCTGGAAGCTCTCGACATATTCTTTCCATATCAGCTCTTCAATGTGAGTTCCTGACCACTCTAAAAGTGATCCCCAAAGACTCTGTTACAAAAGAGGGTCACGACTCACTAGACGAACCTAATTACTTTTCAAGGGAGTGCTAGCATGGCTGCATGCGCCCAATCCTAAGTAGACCTCATCGCAGGTGTCCATGGCAGACGTCAATCAACTTCTTCCATGATCCACACGGGATGGAAAGACACCATCTGACTCCTTCCACGACTTGGGTCTTCGTCCGCTGAGCCGGCCAGACTTAAAGAAAGGAGAGGTCTTCAGACGACCGATGACCCCGCCTTCGGGCCAGGAGACGGCGCCCGGCCGGTAGGGACTGCGTCCTGGAACGGATTCCCGGAGGTCCCGGGCCAGGAGACGGAGTCGCCCGGAGCCGCGCGACGTCCAAGTGGGGAAGTCGTTTGGGTTGTTGGTATCATTGCTTGGAAGAAAAAACGGCCAACAAGATGGAGCGTTGTCTTCCTGAACTTCTAGCATGTCGCCCCAGCATGTCACCTGGAGCTTTGGTGCGATCGGCACATTCAATGCGTGTCTTTCCCAAAGAAAATGGGAGTTACCAAGAAGAACACCGCCTTCATCCCAATGACGCCGTATCTGAGGTCATCCTGAATATCTGGGGATTTGAACATTTTCCAGGTTCCTCACACCTGTTCTTGCAGGCAAAGACTCTAACCACAGCATTCATTCACATGTTTCAACCCAAGATCATACTCACCCCAAGATTGTCTGATGCTTTGGGTAGGAGGTTAGGTGTTGGGCCACTCCCTGGTAGTAAACCACCATAATTCTGTAAACCACTGTAAACCAATGTAAACCAACAACAACTTCTGGTATGGATCTGAACTCCCACCAACCCAATCTCTCAGGTGACTCTTGCTCACATCCAGGCTGCTGTCCGGATCATCGGCCCCCCCACCCCGGACGACGGTTCAGCAGCTCCTGCACGGAGCTCGCGCTCGAAGAGCCCCGGCCGGAGCTCCTCGCGGGGCACCTGGAACACCACCCGCACAGTCCGGTGAGGGTCCTTTTTAACAAATGCCCGTGGGAAAATGTCCAAGCCAAAGGCGTGAACTCTCACGTTCAACTAACCAGTTCCAAGCTCGCAGACTTACGACTCGATGGTCAGCCATTGGCTTTGCTGGATGTGCATCTTTCTGGCTTTCAGTCTATCTTCCTTTGCAAACCACCTTGCTCTCTGTCCAAAAACCTTCTCCTCGTGTGCCCCCGAGTTGGACACCTCGATCCAAGGCTCTGACCGATGGGCTCTTCCGACGGGGCCTGACGAGTAGGAGGCATGGCAGTGGGGGACAAGCCCGGTGAAGAAAAGAACAATGCAGGATTCCTTTAGCACATGCCAAAGAACATGCCTTTGTTGCATGTGAAAAAAGTAACTAAGTGGAGTCTACACGTTAAAAGAATTGATAAAACAGGCCTTTGTCGCCTTCAAATACAAGGATATGTGCCATCTCCAAACTTCGGGGACTTTCCAAACCGACGGCTTGGGACTTGTCTCACCCGACCAAATCCAGGAATGCTTTCGCTTCAGGGCCAGGGGAAGTCCCTAGGGTCCTGTCACCGAATCAAAGGTGTTCAGTCAGTAGTTCTTGGAGGTTGGAGCTCAAACGGTCCGACCTAACTGGTCCAGGTCGAAGGGCAAACGGTAGCCTACAGTATAGCCACTCACGATACCACCGGGGGGTCCTCCCATCAAGTACAACATCCCTCGTTGGCGCTTCAGTGACGAGCCAGCGGCCGGCCGGTAGAAGGCCAAGGGGAAGAGGGCGCCGACCCTCGACTCTTCCACAGTGGGTGAACTCCCAAGCGCGAACACTATATTGTATAAATGAAATGATACTAAATATATTTTACTATTAGTAGTAGTAGTAGTAGTAGTAGGAGTAGCAGTAGCAGTAGCAGTAGCAGTCGCAGTGGTAGTAGTAGTAGTAGTAGCAGCATTGTATGTTATTATGTATGTTTATATTCATATATATATATACAGTTGTGATTCCTTCGGAACCACAAAGGTAGCACCTACAACAACCTACTCAACCTAAAGGGTTCCTACCCTACCAAGACCCTTCCCCAAGCGTCCACGCTCCTTTGTCCTCGTGAGTCCGCTCCCTTGAGCCAATGATTTCATTGGCGTGGTCGAATGTCGATGCTGTCGATGCGATGTCACCTTTGGTCTGGATTCATGAGAAGGTCAGGTGGCCCTTGGTTCATTGGCTTCAAATTCACACTCACTGTATTTCTGTTTTCGAAATGAATCCTTTGACTCCGTTGCCTGGCTGCGAAAACTCTCTGCCCAGCGTTCCCCATACTTACGGTTCGCATTTGTTTTCAGGGTATTTGTTTCGTCAAAAATGCGAAACCTGCCAAGTGCCAGCACCTTCCTAAGGAAACTTGCGTCCATAGGTTTTGTCAAACAGTCAGCCAGCATTATTGCTGTGGAAATCCATCTGCATTGAGCGTTTCCTTCAGCTTGTTCTTTTATCTGCATGACTTCTATTGTAGTCCTCCACTCTTGGCAGTTGGGAATTGCTAGTTTCGTGACTAAATCATACAATGATTTGCAGTCCGTCACTAACAAGGCTTTGGGTTGATTTGCTAGTGCTTTTTTCGGCTTTTGCCATTGAAAGTATGGATCATTTACATAACCCAACAAGCATCTTACCCAAGTAAGCTTATCTAGTGAACTGGACATGGCGTATGCCTCTGCACTCAGGGTAGATCTAACCACTCGAGCTATCTGTTTAGATCCCCAGGCCATAGGTGAGAATTCTGACACTTCGTTCTGTCCTAGCTTCTTGGTTGTTGCCATGACGAATAGGCCTTGTTGGGCCTTCAGCTGATGCTCTGAAGCAAAGCTAGCATCTCCAAAACTTGCAAAAGTGACTTGTTCCACAGGGATTGGTTGTACTAGAATGGATGTCTCCATTGTGGTTTTGGCTTCTTTCAGGATTTTGTTTCCTTCTAGCAAGTCAGCCACTGTGGCCTTGGGAACTTTCTTCTGCAAAAATGCAACTTTGGCAGCTAAGTCTGGTCTCGAATGCACTGCTGCGTATTGTAGGCTACCACACAAAGCTCTTAATTGTTGTAGTTCATGTGGCGTCACTGTGGAGTTTTCATCTTTTCTCCTTGGTTTGGGTATGTCTATTGGGTCTATTCTCTGTATGTAATCGGCTTGGCTTACCCTTATCGAATTGTCGGGATTCTGCTCAATGTCAAGACCAGTGAATCTAAATTTCTTGTATTCTTTCTGGCCGAATGGAAGATGTTTCTGGATCCTGACAAGTGCTTTCTCGAATTGCTCTGTTCCTCCTCCTATCCCATCATCAACATGTGTTCCCAATATTCCTTCTAACTTTCGTGGATCCTTGGGATTTCTCAACATGAACAAACATGCATCCAGGGGATGGGCTTGGAATCCTTCGGCTTCAAGTTGCTTACGAAACTCCTTGTAAAACAGCAACGGTGCATCTACCCTTCCATATGCATTACCCTTTAGTAAGCATACCTCATTAGCTTTCAGATTCAGCATCTTTTGTAGTTCAGGAACCGGTTGCATTGCTAACTGTCTTTCGTCGGCTCGTCCACGAAGGAATGCAGTTTTGATATCAAAGCTTTGCAGGTTCCATCCTCGGCTACTCACTTCTTGAAGTATCACCATTCGCCCATCCCGAGACAATGTAGGAGATTCCGTACTAACTGTTGCTGCATCAGGATCCTCAAATCCTCTCACTACAAGTCTGGCCTTGGCCTTTCGGCCATTGGTTGATGATGGATCTGTTTTCCAGGTCAATATCCATCTTGATGACATGATGCGGCTTGGTGAATCTTGTCTCTCAACAATGGCTCTATGGATGATGTCTCGATCCAACATCCTAATTCCTTGTTTTTGGCTTCATCAAACTCTTGCTTTTCGGATGGGCTTAAATGTTTGTACACAACTTCGACATGGTTCCTTTTGGCAGCATTAACTATCTTCTCGACATGAAGGCATGGTTCTATGCAAAATGCAGACAAATGCCTAGTGGGAACATCGAACTCGAACATGCAAAAATCGGCAGCGGCTTCTGGGATGTTTTCCTGACACGGCCACAGTGTTCCATTGTCTCTCACCATGACTGCGTTTGCATCATTAACTTCTACAATGTTCACATTGTAGACTTCGTTCACCATTGTAAAAGAATCCCCGGTTGATTCATTTACTCCCCTTTCTCCCCCCTCTTGATGTTCCCCTTCAAGATGGCTCCCCGGAGTTTCATCGGACTCATTTGGTGGCTCATTCATTGATGGCTCATTCGAAACAGGTGCTTCGTTAGTTGGGTCACTTGCTTGAGGTGTCTCGATGGCTGGTGGTGTCACTTCAGCTTCAGATTCTCTACGAAGAGGCTCTTCCTCTGGCTGCAATCTAGTTTCAGGATTGGTGGATTCTGGATTTTCAACTTCTGTCAAGTCTGAAAACTGAAACATTCCACTTCTTTCTCTTAACTGATTCCGGAGTTGATTGGCCATCGCTTCCAACCGTTTTTCATCACAACTCTGGTGAAATGATGCAACTTTGCTGAATTCTCTAATTGACACTGGTCGAATATTTTCTCGTGCAACCCTCAACAAGCGGTTCATGTATGTCACCCAAAGCACTGTCCGGGATTCTTCCATGATTACTTGACAGGGTCCTGTCCACCGTTCCTTTTCAAGCATATTTGGAGACTTGCGTTTGTCCCAAACCATGCACAGCTCTCCACATTGCCAGTGGTGCTCTTGTCCTCTCGACTGGCGATTGATTGCCCGACGAATGGCCTGACTATTGTCGGCTTCTAGAAGAGCTTTCCTCGCAAGAGTTCGGACTTCCATTTTCTGAAGAAAATCTTCTGATCTTGTGTCCCTGGGATCATCTATCGAATGGGCGGTGAAATCTTCGTCTCCACAAATGGATGCAGGCAATCGACGTGATCTCCCTAAGACTGCTTGTTCAGGACTGTATCCCTTGACAATGGTCAGACTATTCTTGGCTTGGAAGCATTGGTTGAGTGCTTCATCGAATTGTTTCTCGTTTTTAATGGGTTTTTCTTGATCAACTCGACTCAACATCTCTTTAATTATTCCTCCATGCCTTTCTATCCGACCTCGTTGCCAGGGGGCTGCACTTACTATTGCACGGATTCCTTCTCTCTGCAAATAATCTTTCCAGGTTTGGCTGATGAACTCTCCGGCTTCATCATGTTGGATTTCCAGTGGGGTACCCGCCCAATGTGTCCATGTTTCTACGAATGTCTTTATCAAGCTTTCACTGGTTCGAAGGCATCGTCTCCCTAGATGAAAATGACTGGCTTCATCAAAGAAATGCAAAACATAGAACTTGTGACCCTTTTCCCCTTTCCATTCAAACCCGTCCATGGCGATTCTCTCATTGAAGTCCCGTGGTTCCTTTAGCTTCCCTGGGGTGGTAAGTTTGGGAGGAACTCTCTCCGCACATGACTGGCATTGATAGTCTTTTGCACCTTCAACCATCCTTTCTGTAAATCCAAGTCTCTTCAAATGCTCTCCTATCTTATCTGACACTGGATGTCCTAAGTTATTGTGCATTTTCTTAATCATCGTCTGTTGCTTACTGCTCAATTCTAGAAACTTGGGTCCAGAATTAATGGTTGCATTCGGTGTCCATGATGGAATTGGGGCCAAAGGTTCAGCTGCACTGGAAGATCTCTGATCTACCTCGGCTTTCTGCATCTCTTCTTGGCTGGCTTCTTGAAATGGAGAGGTGATTCCTTCTCCCTTGCTTGACTGGCTTGGTGACATCGACTTGCGAATTGACTCGATCATGGATTCAGACTTGGCTTGGTTTGCATCTAGGCCTTCGGGATTCCTACCAAAAATGGCAATCATAATATGGCTTGGAATGGCTTTCCTTCGCTGTTGAGTTTGTGGCATCTTGGTCCATTCATCCACACCTAAATCCATGACTCTTTTGGTATTACGACATAGGCAAATTGTTTGTCGGTGGGTATGTCTATGATCTCCCAGCATGTATCTCTCAACCCCCTTAATTGCCTTGATCTCTTGGACATCTGCGATTTGACTGTGTTCACAAATGTATCTGCCTGGCCATGTCTGAAGATCGATGGTTTGTGCTCCGGACTTAGGCAAAATCGCCTGAAGCTTCTCCATGACTTCAGTCCATGACTGTCCGGTCAGCTCTGTACTGGGTTCATATGGTTCGAGTCCTCGCTTGCGGCTCAAAGGGTCTTCCTCTGGACCCTTGATCCATGATCGCTTGGATCCAGGCTCACTCTCAGGTGGACTTTCGGCTTCACGAACGGGACACAAAAGTTCAATTGCATTTGATGCTTCAACCACTGGGCAATCTGGGTTTTGATCTTCTTCAATGATTCCTTTGGCTCCTTTCTTAGCAAACATTTGGGGATAGAATGCTGCGAATCTTGACAAGGCGATGGTTCTCCCTTGGAAATGACATGTTCCGGCTATCTGATGATGTGTGTGTTCCCCCGAACATCTCCTATCATCCATGTTTCGAACAATGGCTCGTGAGGTCGTCTGCAACCTGGTGTTTTTCTTAATCGGCTGACGATTCTGTGGATGCTTAAGACCTAGTTGACACTGGTCGAGCATGACCGTCTTTGTCAATCGAATGATTTCTTGAACCTCTGCCTGATGCCACATTCCTGAGGAGCCGGGATTCTCCATCGTGAAATGCCTGCCGTTCTCTACCTGAATTTTGCATAAGAAAGTGCACAGTTTCAAATGCTCTTTGGACTGTTCTTGCATTGTCTGGACGTTCTGGAAACTTCTTAAGCTTCTTCCGGCATTAAATCGATTCCACGAACACCAAGGTGCACATTCTGGAGCGACCCAAATGTGTTTAGGTCGATGCTTGCACACCATCCGAAGCAACTCCAACTGTCCATGGTATGTTGACAAGTCTCCATGCTCCCTGGTGAACCTTCTTGCAATTCCTCCATGCCTGATGGTTTCTTCAGCTAAACGGCTGTTTGGTTGGGCATACACTTCAAGAAGATCTATTCCTGGGGATTCATCCATGTTTTCAAGTTCTTTCCTAAGACTTCTCAACCAATTCACCTCTGACCTGTTTGAGACCTTCGTTGCTAAATGGATCACAGACCCTGTTGGAGATGTGCTTCCATCTGGCATCGGACTTGGCAATACTTGGCGAAATCGAGGACTGGCATGCCTAGTGAATTGATTCGGCTCAGGCACCAGCTCGCATACTGATCGTCGGTCTCGTAGATCTGGTAGTACATCTTTCCTGGGTGTTTCTTTCCCCAGGTGATTGTCTTGCGGCCCCATGACGTCATTGCATCTTGAGTCCAGGCCACGTCTCTGCCATGAGGTGCTGTGAATTCGCTCCCAGACACCTTTTGCTCTGGAATCCAAACTCCTCCGGGGGCCAGAATGGGTCCGCCGAGTGCGGGAGCTTCGATCTGTCTTGAGCGGGCGCCACTCATTCCAGCAGGGGCGGCCTGACTTGATTTCTTCACTGATGGAGGACTTGTCACAGGAGGTGATGTCGTCGCTCGAACTGGACTCAGGGCTCCTGAGGCTTGACCTCTCTCGTTCATCATTTGCAGTTCGTCTTCCCACAGATGGATCTCTCTCTCGGAAACTTCTGACCATTCTGAGTCCCGGTGGCCGGGAGATGATGGTTTTGTTCCGGTCATCTTCAGATTGGAAGCGATTTGCTGTAGCATGGTCTTCTGGCTTTGAACTTCTTGCATCAAATGCTGCATTTGCAATGCATGTTCGTTGGGAACCATCTGCTCTCCTTGTTCTTCCACTTGCGTCTGCACCTGATTCATCAGGAGAGTCAGGAGTATCTTGAGAAGCTGCATGACCGCATCTGCGGTCTCGCGAATCATCTCCATGATGTCCTTCCTGGTGGGCATGGCAGCAAATCTGCTCAGGTGCAGGCTGATCGACAATCTTTGACGCGGCAAGGGCTGACACGGACGAATTTTGACAAAGGTCGGCAAGACTGATCATGAGCAATCCGGTGGTTCCCTGCTTCAGTGAAATGGCCTTGTCTAACTTCTGCAAATGACATGTTCCATGTGTCAAATCAAGCACAGCTCCGAGTTTCCTCATCGTTTGTATTGACAGCAAGAATGGTGTTCCCTTTGGGACAACTTCAATGATTAGCCAAATTTGTTGGGACTGGTTTCGAATTGGAACCCATATCTGTTTATAGCTGTATTCTATCTGGTTGTTACCGAATCGAAAACCAATGCGGCTGGGCTTTTCCTTTATGCGGTCACGAGTGTCTCGATCTAACAGGCTCAACATCTGTGGAAGGTTCTCGCTTCCAATGACACTGCGACTTGCACCCGTGTCAACAATGGCGTAGCCATGCGTGTTGAAAGCCTCCTTGCCGGCTTTACTGGTGCAGCTGGGGTACATGCCGACTTGATCCGGCGGGATCTTGCTCTGCGATTCTTGCCTGGCAAAATGCACAGAATTCAACCTTGTCTTAAAAACTCCTGCAATTTTATTTTAAGGTCCCCTGTTGGATCGATTGAATTATATGCAGTCTGAATTCCTACGAAAGCGTGTTCGAATCTGGAGTCATGGCAGGTGGAATCCATGTTCATGAATGTTTCATCAGTTCGAACCTCTATGTGGTCGCTCAGGTTCAACTCCTCAATGACGACTTGATCTGGACTGTCGCTCATCTCCTGGGTCACAATGTTCACCTGGTCTTTGGGTCGATTCGGGCATTCAGCCTTCCAGTGGCCCAGCTCTCCACATTTCTTGCAGTGGGTGCGTGCAATCCTCTGAAGAAGTTCATCTTTCCCTTTTGATCCACCTTTGCGAAAACCCTTGTAGTTGTTTCCAGCAAATCCGGATTTGTATCCCTTCCCTGACCCCTTTTGTCCGGCGGGCCAGAAACCTCTGTTCTTCTTGCGCTCATTGATGCGAGCTCTTGCCTCATGGTAGGATACCAATGCTGTATGAAGATCTGGGACTTCTTGCAGCAAATCCTCCAAGTCCTTCTCGAAGGCCTGAACGGCCAGGGCGTCTGAATCGCCCCAGGATGCCATGCTTTCAATGGTCTCTTGGTTTGCTTCTTCATCATCTTCAAGGTTCATGGCATAGGCTGGATTGAAGTCCTTGCTGGAATCAACATCATCGGGCTCCGTGAAATTGATGGGATACACTTTCTTCTTTTCCTGTCCGCCAGAGCTGTTCAGCACATTCGTGGACAATGACCTCATTGCTCCCTCAATGGCTGTGGTCTCCATCACCCCGCTGGTCATGGTCAAAACCTTCTTTTTATCTTCATGAGAAAGACAGCTTTGTTTCAAAAGAACAAAGGCCACAACCGACTTCAATGTTGTATCCGGGCCAACTTCATCAAATGCCACCATCAACCTATTGACGTAGCTCTGAGTGGATTCGTCAGGCCTCTGTGTCGTCTTGTAGATGGCTTTCTCAAAAAGTTCAAAGGTTTTCAGCTCTGAGGTTTCTTCCCAACTCTGAAGTGCAGCTAGGAAGTGTTTCACTCCGTTCGTGGGATCTATAAGCAGCTCAGGTCGTAGGGCTCTCACCTGATGCCATGCCGTTCCTCTGCACATCATCGCCAGCTTGGGCGCCAACATAGGTCTATCCCTTTTTGGACAAATACCATCAATAAATCTCACCTTTGCGATGTAGTCTCGGGCATTGTCAACTGCTGGGTCAAATGATGGGAGCATACTCCAGATTCCAGAACTCTTTTCCTCTCCTGAGGATTCTGTAGCCATGGCTTACTCCTACGTCCTACGCGGAGGCCAACAAGCTCCGCTACCAATGTGATTCCTTCGGAACCACAAAGGTAGCACCTACAACAACCTACTCAACCTAAAGGGTTCCTACCCTACCAAGACCCTTCCCCAAGCGTCCACGCTCCTTTGTCCTCGTGAGTCCGCTCCCTTGAGCCAATGATTTCATTGGCGTGGTCGAATGTCGATGCTGTCGATGCGATGTCACCTTTGGTCTGGATTCATGAGAAGGTCAGGTGGCCCTTGGTTCATTGGCTTCAAATTCACATACAGTATCATATGATATGCAACCCCTTGGTTGGTCCCTTCCAAAAAAAGTTACAGGTTCCGACACTCCAGTTCGCTCGGGACCTTCGTGTCGGTTCGATGTTGGAGAAGCTGTACTCCCGAAGGCGTTGCGTGAGCCTGGGCGGTGCTCTTGGCAACTCCCCGGTCACAAGTATTCGACCCAGTCAGACCCATTCGAGTCAGACAACCCAGAATTGAGTGAGTCTTTAGACCTGGGCTCGTGGATGTGACAGGGGCAAGAGACACCCAACTCCATTTAACCGCTGGAAGGTATGTTTAGGATGGTTTTTACACCACCTGGTGCTCTTATCTCTACGTATACAGTTGAAGAAAGAAGTCTTGCACCATCTGCCTTGTCCGTCCTGTCTGAGTGAAATGGTCTCCATCTCAGGTGCTAGAGATGTTCAAAGCGGTTCTGGAATGGACCATACGGAGTCGATGCCGAATCCAACTTGTGCCATCCTTCTTTGGTTTCTGTTGGCCTTTCAAAAACCTGGAGAAGACTGTGTGGTGCTGGCAAACGATTGAACTTTTGGGGGGGACAGCTTCTGCTACAGAAAAAAATCGGAAGGATCTTTGTCTTTTGTGGATTATGTTTGTGGTTGTACACCTTTCCTTCCTTCGCAGAAGTGGAAAAGACTCGACACCCAGCAAGGTCTGGTGTGGTCGAAAAGTCTGTCGGGCTTCAAGACACCGCTTCCCACAGAGTTCACATGTTCACAGCGCGAGAGAAACAACCCAAAACCTTGTGCCTGGAGCCGGTGAAAAGAAGGCCCAGACACCGTCCCACCCCTTCTGCTTGAGGTTCCGAAGAGGCCGAACTCTGCACCCCGTGCAAAAATGTCCAACTCCTTCACCGGCTTTGGCCAGCTGCCCCTGCGGCTACCCCTGCGGCCAGCCCCTCCCTTCGCCACCTGCTCTCCAACTGCAGAGCGTCGGACTTGGCAAAGCTCGCCTGGCGCGCTGCTTCGCATCCGGTCCTCCCGAGTCGTCGATCCGAGACGCTGCCATTCGGGTCCGACGCACGTTCTGGCTGGGCTGATGCTGAATTGGATCTGCCCACCCTTGCAGTGATCCTTCAAAGTTTGCATGTATAGATGATGAGAATCGTATCACTTTGTGCGCCTTAAATCGCAATACAGAAGACCACTTAAGTAAATCGCCCCAGAGATCTTGGTCTGCTTCAATTTCACTCAAAATGCTTCAATTTCACTCTCAGGAACCTAATTTTAACCGCTTTGGCTCAGGTTTGAGTGAGCATCAGTAGCTCTCATAGGAGCAATGTGCATGTGTCTGAAGCAATTGCAGGTCCTCTCATATGTGGTGGCCAGGTCAGCCGGTCGAATGTGCGAGAACTCCGAAATGAGGTCAGCTGGAGACGGTCGAATGTGCTCTGAATGTGCAATCTGACACTGACAATATAGACCCCCAAATAGATAGAAGTATATAGATCCCCACTCAAAGGTATTGAAAACCATGCCATGATCATCCACTATCTATTTGGGGACCACTATATCTTTCACTGACCAAGCCGTCCTACCTCGACGCAAGGCACACTTCAACATCGAAACCTCGTTCGATCAGCGCCCAAACCAAACCCAGGTCAGACCGTCTGCAGACCCAACCAACCCACAAACAGGCGCGAGAGGCGTGATCAGGCCTCGGTTTTTTCAAGCAGGTGGAAAAGGATGCATGATTCAGTCCAACTAGTAGCTAGAAGCTACTACAGTAGTAGCAGGGGCATCGCTACTAGTGACAAGTGCATCGCTACTGGTAGCTAGAAGCTACTAGTCCAAATTCATCCCTTTTTTTCATGACTCACAAGTCAGAAAATGATGTGTCGATTCTCGAGCTCTGAAAGGAAGTGCGTAGACTCGGGGGCTCTGCGTGTGAAAGAGGGAGCTGGCCGAATCATACCTGGCGCATGGCGCGGCCTCCCTGGCCCCCGTTCCATATCCCTGGCCTCATTCAACACAGAATCGAGGCCAAATTGTCCCTTCCGTCCCCCACAATGCAACTCAGGATGGAAGATGCGTTCCTGCCCAAGAAAGCCAAAACTTCATGTCAAACGTTCAACTGAAGTGCCCAACAATCAATCCATCCATCCATCCGTCCGTCCATCCGTCCGTCCGTCCTACCTATCAAGCATCCATCTGTCCATCCATCCAATCCAATCCAACTCCCATCGTGGATTCAAGATTTTTCTACCTGCCTCATGGGTCTCCGAAGCTCCTCCCGCCTCGGGAAAAGACCACAGACAGGTTGCCCTCCAGGCCAATAGCATTTCCAAATCAAAAGCCTATCTGCCCCAACAAGTCAACCGCAATGTGCGTATGCCTGGCCGATGCCTCCGAAACCGGATTCCATGCTGGCATCTACTAGGCAGGAGAGCGCAGAAACTTTGGAGAAGGGAGGATATATCCACTACTAGGAACAAGGTTCGCTACTAGGAACAAGTGCCTCGCTACTAGTAACAAGTGCCTTACTAGTAGTAACAAGAAGCCAATGCTTGGCAGAACTGGGCTCGGGCAGCTCGTTCCGCCGCAGCTCGTTCCGCAGTTCTGAGGCCCCAGCCCCGGACCCCGACCGAGACTGGTGGCCGAGGAGGAATGCCTCACGGGGTCCAACCCGGCCATGCCAATAACCGAAACGAAAAATGTCGGAACAGGTTATAACAGGTTAGGTAGAGCTTTCCAAAACACAACAAGGTTGTCAAAGAACGAAAAACACCTAAGAATATCGAGCAAGAGAAAACTGCTTTTGCATCTGTTCAGAATCGAACAAACCATGTCATTCTGGCTAGCTTCAGTGCCTTTTGAGCATGGGTTTCCCCCACTCAATGCCAAGGGGGCGAGAAGTTGGTGTGGTGCCAAGGGGAAGAGGTGATGAGACTCCTCAATCCAGGTGAAACTGGGCACTGAAGTGAGGTTCCTGCTTTCCAGCATGGACTTCCTTCCAACCGTCTTGATCCGAGAAATACTCTACTGAAGTCTGGAATCCTTACAGGTTCCGTGCAAACAAGAAGGAAACCTGCGGAGAAAAAAAGGTTGTGGCAAAATCCCGTGTCCCAAACCAGTCCACCTCCTCTCGTGCGCTCGTTTCCTTTCGCACCTGCCTCAAACCTGGGCGTGGGTCCCGTGGGTCGTAGGCCTGTGGCGGTGAGCGCTACCCCACCCCGAGCAGGCACAGACTGCGGAGCGGGGATGAGCGGACCGGGTTGCATCGCAATATCAAGTTTCTTTGTTCCGCAGAGGTTCAATCCCTCCTCAGCATTGGTCAGCTGAGCGAACGTTATGGAGGGACCTTTTCTCCTGAAACTGGGACTTGTCCTCTTTCATTTGAATTGGGGGGTTCTTGTCTTGGCTGTCAACCTATACATCAACCAATGTCTGTATCTCAATAATTACATCTCCACGCACGAAAACCCACTGCTACTCTTTGGTACCCTCCCGTTGTTCCGTCGTTGGACCCCGCGCCTGCGTCTGCGACGCGACCTTTGAAGCCCGCTGCTCGCGCAACCCCCGACGCACGTCGCCGCCGCCTGGGCCGTCGACCGGCGCTCCACAACAAGCACTGCGTACAGAGGACGTGGAGAAGGATACAATAAGTTTCGGATGCCAGCAGAATGGTGTATATGTAAAAGGTTGTGTGACTGGCTTTCTTCATTCACCTTGAAGCCGATTGGTTGCCAGCTCCTTGCTTGACACAATCTTCCACCAAGAACCACAACAGCCGACAGGTCGGCAGACACAGGTGGCGCAGGCTCTGACGAACGCTACCACGCCACAGCTACATGGCCGCTCACAGTTCACACGGAAGAACGCCCATGGCGTGGGAGTTCCAAGAACTGATGGCTTTTCCAACGCCCATTTCATGTTCATCTGAATGACCAACAGGGCTGTGTGCACCCTCACAGTTCATCAAGCACACAGAACTCAACGTTTCAAAGCGACCACATCTTCATCTCTCATGGTTTCGACGTCTGGTGTGACCACAACGATCAGCGGAGCACAGAGTCGATCAGCGGGAACACCTGAGTGTGCACTTTTCCCATGAAGTTTCTCAGAGATTCCAACAGATCTGTCTTTTCACTTGCACAAACCCGTCTGAACAAAAGGTCCAGGTCTGGACTGCTAGAGTTTCTATTGAAAAATGCCATGTGAATGTGATGTAATCTGACCGACTCCTCCTCCTTCTCACTGCTCCTTTCGTTTAGGCCCGGGGCTCCGCACGAAGCACTTCGCTGCGGTCGTGCACCTCGGAAGAAGAGACGCCGTCGCTCCGCCGACCGTCACAGGTCGGCCGACTTGTTCAGGGCGTGTTCCTTCGGCTTCGGCCATTTTCAGGCCAGCTCATGCAGACAGATCATGCTGACGAAAAAAAGAACACAAATAACCAATGACACATCAAAGAAGAAGAGTTTCACCCAGTGTTCCTGGTGTTTCAGCGACCCACTGCCCACATCCCCTTTTCGAGTAAAATGCCAACTTTGGGAGTGCCACCACCACCTGGTTGGACCTCTTCGTACCGTATCTGGTCAGGAGTCTATCCCTGACCAGTCTGGTCGTCTGCTTGCATCCACTCCAGTCATGGCTCCGGCTTCGCGAACGCAAGCCCAGCCCTTGGCGCGGGCCTCCTTGATACATCCCAAATTCACGTCCACTACACCAGACCGGAGAAGACTCCCAAGACCCCCCGTCCATGGCCACGAGAGTCGGTGTCGTTCGGTGTTTCGAGGCGATTCCTCGTTCTTTGGGCTAAGATGCTTGGCTTTGGTCCATCACCCTAAGAATTGTTCTCCAACATCTCCTTCAACTGGACACACACTGGGCAAAGAGGACTTGGTGGGTACCCGACTCCCTGGAACTAACATGAAAGTGGATGGCGCCCCGAAAGAATGACCATTTTCCTCTACAAACAGGAAGTTGTTCAATTCCATGTTAGTTCCAGGAGCTCCTCGATTTTTGGTCCCTTCTGGTTTCAGGCTTGTCTGCATTTCATCTCTGGTTTCAACAACAGCAGCCTGGTCGCATTCTGGTTGGCGGCTGTTTCTGAAAGGCTTTCAACTGAGCCAACCAAATGTTGCTCACAAACTGAACGCCATCACAAGAGTAGGAAAACCTGTCAAGAAAGGCCGCGGAAACAGCTGGGCGTTCCAGCCAGGTTCGGCACACTGCTCTGCTTCAGCATTTCAGGACGACGCTCGCCCTGGAAGCCAGGGCTCCAGGCTCAGTGTTTTCGTCCAGTCCGTCGAATACAGCCTATTTCTGTTTGTTGAGAACCTACAAGACCATGAACTAGAACATGCTCTTTTCAGAAAGGTACTGCAGTACTGCGTACTGCACCTACTGTACCAATTAGAGAGAGAGAGAGAGACATTTAAAGAAGCCTCCCCTCCACCCCTATATATAGCGAGAACTATAACTAAAACCTGGAGGAAACCCAAACAACACTAGAAACAACTGGGTGTACTCACAAACAATCACTTGCTATGTACTGTAACGGATTTCAATTGCCATATTGGAAGAACCCTTTGATTCTGGTTCCGTTTCCTTTGGATCGCTGGAACATCGTTGGCCCACCTTTTGAGGAACCCACAAGCAGAACCCAAGCAAAACTGCCCAAAAATAACATATGCTTCTCCTCTCCTTCATAATTCCTCAGCTTTCTTGCTCATATTCCCCAACCTGCACGTGCTTTCTGCTTGACACGTTGAGACGCCACACGACCTCTTCGACGTCGTCCGATGAAGACGCCGCCCTACGAACGACACCCGGACTTCCCGCATTGTGACCCGCCCGAGAGCTCAGTGGGGCGATTCGTCACGCTTGAGAGCTCTGATCAAAGATGAATAAAATCAAGTGCTCTGCTCTGACCATGAGAAGCCTTGTGGAAGAAGGTGTCTACTCCCGGACCTGCCGCTTGGATTGAGAATGGATTGGTTCGAAGAGCTTGTCATAGCTAAGCCACTGAAAGAAGTAGCAAGGAAGAAGTGAATTACACTGCAAGAAGTGATTGTACCCTCACTAACAGGTGTTTTGGGGCCTCAAACGTCGGACAGAGCCAGGAAGCCACCGGTCTTTCTGCTCCGACCCCCCAGTCCCAGGGGAACACCGACTTCACATCACCTGGGAGCGAAGGCCCTGCCTTTGGAGGCACAAAGGTGAAGTCCAGGCCCTTAGAGCCGACGTCCGGGGGAAAGGGACTGGCCCGGTGACGGCCGGGACGAACGGAGCAGTTCGGGCATCGCGACTCGAACGGAGCAAGGGACGCTACTAGGGGCTCCTGGCTTTACTTCTAGGAACAAGAAGCTACTAGTAACAAGGGCATCACTACTAGTAACAGGAAGCTATTAGAAAACACCATTCAAGATTTGAAGCGATTTCCCACCCGTCAGAGGTGGTTTTTTTAAGGCTTCAGGGTCGAAGATTCGTGGAAGGCCACAGATGGAGGACGTGATGGTGATTTTCCCCAGACACTTCCCAGTAATGGAGGTGAAAGTGAAAAAGACCCGCGATCCCCTTTTTGAACCGTAGTGAACTGACAGCCACCTCTGAGTCAGGCAACCCAGAAAAACCCAAAGGTTCACCCCCATAGCCCCCGGTGTTCAAAACAATTGGACCCTGAAATGGACCGGTCCCTGATTGGGGTACTGGTAGCACTTGTGCTCCCCCAAGTTTCTCGGAAAAGACGCCTCAAACGACCAGTCGACTCGCGAAACGGTCCGTCTGATCTCCCACCTCCGTCTGATTTCCTCGGGGGATCAGCAAAAACACCAATTGGAAACAAACGAGGCCATTGTTTCAGCAAGCTATGTGCAAAACCCGCAGCAGTCCCCAGTCATACACGCCATGCTTTGGGCACATTCTCCCAGCTCTCCTCTGGAAATGAGGATGATTTTCGTGGACTCTGAGTGAGTTTACCGAACCCGCCGACACGGTCACCGAACCGGTTCCCGTTCTCCGCTCAACTCCCGTTCTCCGCCGGAGCGGCGTGCCGGGCACGCCTGGAGGCCGATTTGGGCCTGCGGGGCCGTCGCCGTCGGAGGCGCCTTGGAGCCCCGTTCATGGCTTGTTACGTTCGTAGTAAGAATGCTCCGTTCGTAGCGATGCCAGGAGCCCCGATCGTAGCGCCCTTGCTTCGAGTAGTAAGGCCGGGAGCCCCATTCGTAGCGCTCTGGCTCCTTATTTGTTGGGGGCCACTTTACTTTGGAGACAAAGAGCCAAGCCATGGCCGAGAAGGCCGAGAGGCCGGCCAGTGGGAAAAGCCGGCAAGGCCGTTGGAGAGTCGAGTCGTTCACTGCTTCCTGTCGATCAACGAGTTGGAACGGGTTTTTCTCATGGTGCACAGAGGTCAGCTCGTGAGGGGGTTATGTCCCCCAGGGTAGGGTAGGGAGTTCGCTATGTCGAGTTGATCACCTTTTGCCGCCTCTTTGTGCAGGACAACTTGTCCAGCAACTCTAGGATGTCAGCGCAGCCCGGCCCATTGGGACAGGTGGGAAGAGTAAGAAGAGGAAGAAGAAGAAGAAGACTGCCACTTCCAAACCTCCAAATGCCTGACATCTGTCCCTCCCTTCAGACCCGCCTGGGAATGTGCCCCGGATGCACGATCGGCGGCCTCTGAGAATGCTGGTGGGGGCAAGGAACAGCATGGGTTTGAGTGAAAACTTGGAGCCCAACCATGGAGCGTGACCTCCGAGGTACCAGCTTAGTCTGTTCCTTTGGGGTGGTACCAAAGATTTCCAGTTTTGACCAATGGCCAGGTGTCATGTATGGGTATGGGTCATGGGTCATGTATGGTTTAGCAGACCGGCATCTCGATCTTGAGAGATAGAAGTCTTGCAGGATGCCATGACCCCCCGGCCATATCACAAGCCTCGAGCCCTTTAGGATGTCAAGGTCCCCCTGGTCTCTTTCAGCCAGCTTCTTGCCACGTCACAGGGTCGGTTTGGTCATGTGAGCCAGCTTCTTGGATGCATTCCGTTTGGTAACTGGGTGTTCGGCCAGATCATACATGGAGTTAGTAGAACTAGTCAGTCACTGTTGAAGCATGTGCAGGCCATCCACTTCTGGTCATGCCCAACTCCCGGGCATCAGAAATGGATCCGCCCAGTTCCAGCACTTCTACCACTTCAGATATGATATCTTGAAAACAAGTCTAAGTGGCTCTTTTGCACGCCTTGGAGGCAGAAAAAATACAAACAAAAAGCTCCACTCCATCTGACCAGCTAGCTCCACTCCATCTGACCAGCTCCATCTGACCTTCTTCGCTCCATGATCCTTTCGGTCCGCTGTTGGCTTGGCGAGCTTACTCCACTGCCGAGGACCGACGGAGGTCGTCGACCCGGACGAGACTCGAGCCCAAAGCATCAAAGGGACGGCGCCGGTGGCGGCTGGTGCTTGGTTTGACACCATGGGGTACGAAGATTCCAGGTTACCCTGATTGTTCCTTTGTTGGATTTTGGGACCCATGAAGATTTACCCCCATGACTCGTGAAAGTTCCAGCTTCAACTACTGGTACCATGGGTTTTTTCCCACACCTGTGAATGAATGGACTCAATGCCTTCTCCAATGGACTCAAGTGCAAAGATGCTGCAAAGACTCACCTGGAGTTTTTAAGTGGCGAATTTGGGATCTGGATTGGGCTCCCGCAGTTCCTACTGAGCAGAAGCTTGCCAGCCTTAGGAAGTGCTGAAAGTTTTAATTAAATCAGATGAGATTGTCATTTTGGATGGAGCCCATTCCGTATCCAAAATGGTCATTTTGGAACCTAATTCTGTATCTACTTTGGTGAGCTGAGCAAAGCTGAGCAAATAATCCTTGCCTAATCTCATGACATTGTTTGTGTAGCCAGCTGGTGGCAACATCCTCCACTTGTTACAAGGATGGATTGGAATCTACTCCTTCACCGTCGCAATGGCATTCTTCCTTCGCCCCCTTCGAAGTCACCCCTGTCAGCACCCTTTTTGGCAGCAGGTCCCAATTAGGAGCAGGACACAGACGTCTTCGCACACCTGGACACGAACAAAACCCGACAGGTGCGGAAAGCCTATTCGAGAGCTTTCAAGGACTGGAAAGTATTGAAAGGTGCAAAGGGAGTTTTGCTGTAAAGGGGGTCTGCTTCATTAGAGGTCCAGCAGGTACCGGTACATACCGGTACGCTGCAGTGGCACCTCACATACACACACACATCATGGCATGTATGGTCAAGCAAAGAATCTTGTAACCTTGCACACCCACAAACAAATCACTTTTTGGTGGATGACGTGCTGTGCTTGAAGATGGGCCGAGACAAGGGCTACCACGAATGCGTAACACCCATGCGTCACCGGCGTCACCCGCCACCAACCCAGGTCACTTGCCTTTCGTTGCGTACGTCGGTGGCACATCTGCTTAGCTGTTTCTCCGACATCTTTTTTTCCGCATCGCGAAAACGGTTTGACTCGTGAGAGCTCATTCAACAAGTCTTCAGAAACGAGCATCTGTCTTTCTTCCGTGAACGAGCATCAAACTTGCGGCTGCTCATGACGACGGGTTCCGTGGTGTGGACACTCCCCCCCGAACGGGCGTTCCTCACGGGAGGTCGGACCGGGGGCGTCGACGCAACGCCAAATGGACCCCTTGAAATGAATGGAAGAAATCCATCTGCACCCCATCTGCACCCCACGGTGTGTGTGTGTGTGTGTGCACCTTGGACTCATAGGTAATCTCTTGATTTTCACACAGCAGGGGGCCGGGACATCGCTGATCCTGCCCGTCCAACTAAGATGGTATCAGTTGGTGTTGATACGGTGAAGCACGCTCCACTGTGTAGCTGCCGGAGCTTGGGAGATGACCTGGAATTTTGGTACTTTGCAGTTTGAAACTCTCGGAGCAATTAGAATCCTTTGTGATGTCAGACACCGCTGCACTGCTTAGGTGTTCCATGTTTCCAAGGTTTCTTCAGGACGGGGAGCAATCATACCATTCCTACTTTAATCTCGAGTGTGTGTGTGTGTGACCATCCGCTGGACTTTGGAGTAGAAGTGGGTCAAAGCAAAAAAGCAGCCACCAGAGTCGCAAACGACCCAAGAAAACTGCACTCTAAAAACCCAATCAGCCTTGTGTGTTCCTCGTACTGTCTGAAGGACTTTGTACTTTGAGCCCCAAACACCGTAATAATCAAGTCAAAAACAATAGGCAAGCTGAATGTGTTTGAGGTTTTCACCTTATCCTATAAACTCTATGCCGGAGTGGCACACACCTCTTTTTTTCGACACAAACCATACTAGACCATGGAACAATCCAAAGGGTTGAACCATATGCTCTGGTCTGAGACTTGCTGAAGCTCTGCATGGTCAGGAGGTCAAAAATACTCCTCCTGGTGTACTGGACGCGCTCGGGACCACAGTACCGGGCTCATCCTCTATACCACGTTTTTCAGGCGGAGCCGCGAAATTGTCGGGTGCAAAGCTCCTTCAAGACCTGCAAAATGCGGGAAGCACTTAGGCTACAATCCAATGAATTCAGAGTATTGCAGTACGTAAAATCACTCGATTTGAGTGACTCTGACTGTACCAAGAAATGCTGAGAGCGTTTTGGTCGGCCGCTCGCTTGCCGAATTCCCAATGCCACTTGCTCCAACCTGCGATCTTCTTGGCATGAAAACCCTTGGTGAAACACAAGGACTTCGGGCACAGTTTGGGCACTGATGGGGCCACCATGTTTTGTCTCATGAGTGAAGCCTTCACCAGAAGATGTTCACCCATGCGGATGCAAGGAAAAGGCGTTCAGTTCGGTGTTCGCAACCAGTCTGCAAGACACCAGTCTGCTTCAGTTCCCAACCAGTCAAAGAACTTCCACGTCGCACGTCCCAAGGGCAGTTGAAAGGGGTCCGAAATTGGTTCGGCAGAGTCGCAGAGTCATGGGGACATGGAAAATAGAGACTGAAACCCATTGAAGAAGCGATCTCCCCATTGAAAATCCATGAAAATCCACGCCTTTTCTCATCAAGGAAGAGGTTTTTGATCCGTCAACCGCTCCCATTTCCTCGCTGCTCCTCGCTGCTGCAGCCCAGCCTGCTTCAACAGTCCGCCAACGGTCCGCCACTCCCTCAGGGAGTCCTTGGCCAGGCATGGCGGCCACGGTGTTGGTGTGACCTGGAAGTGTTCTTGCCCTACAGCTACTGCTCTTAGGCACTTGCTTCTCCAGAGGTCATCAGACAGAAACCCAAGAAGACAACATCAGAAGAGCACCGCTGGGTGACCCCCCGTCCGACCAAGTCCGACCACTTGGCAGAAACGACAAGGCCAACTATGTCTGGATGGCCATCTCTCGAACCACAGCGACCCATCCCGACCCATCTCTCCGAACCTGCGGGGATCCGCCGCGCGGCGGCTCGGCCAGCGGAGCGAAAACCCCGGTCACCTCGGTCGACGCACGAGGCGGAGGGGCGGCTGAAGGCGGAGTAGATAGAATGGTAGTGGTACCAATGTGGATTCATTATAGTGGATTGAGAGTAGATCGCACAGACTCCCATCTAAAGGACATCATGGGGTCTGTGCCATCTACTCTGAAACCACTGTATATAGATAGGAAAACAAGCTAGGTATCCACTGATTCATCAAACCAGGTCACACTGCGGACTGGCCCTTGCTGGCCTTGCTGCTTCCCTTGCTTGTCATGCTTTCCTCAGGCTCGCTCGGTACGGATTGGACTTTATAATGTGGGTTGGCAAGAAGGCAAAAGGTAGATTCAATGGTTCTAAGCACCATCCAAAAGCATGCTACAAATCTACACAGTAGATTTTGTTGATTTATGTACATGTATCTATGAAGGCCATAAATTTCAAAGAAGCTGAATAGAGTCATAATGGAGATCTTGCGAGAAGGTCCCTAAATTATATTTAGCACTTCGGCTATGCCAAAAATAGCATCACTGCAACATTGCTGGGCCGCGCCAAACATGGGCAAAACAGGGAAGTGATCCCACCAGTCATGGCAGTGAAAAACCGTCTTCTGAGGACTGTCGACACGCAAAGCGCACCGCCGAAACGAGGCCAAGCGACACTTCGTTCGAGGATCTGGCTTTTCTGCCGGCAAAGATTTTCAAAGTCGGCCTCCACTTCCTTGGGCCCACTCGGGTCCAGCGAAAATGGGCTTTCTTGGGGCCGAACGTCCCCGAAAACCACCGAAAAAAAGAAAAAGAGAGAGAGAGAGAGAGACGCGCAAAACAACAGGAAATGGCACCGGAAGGACCCCGTGTTCTCGCCTTTCCAAACTCTCAAGAGACCCCAAACGAATTTTGGCGAAGCAGACTGCAAACGCGTTCTCTCCCTTCTTTTGGGATGTGTGCCTCAAGGATCCTCAAGGTGCCTTTTTTGTGGAAGCTCACTGAGAGCGAAGTGATCTGTAGGTGGAGGTCTTCGTCTTCTTTTGGGGGGGTGCCTTCTTGTGGAAGATCCAAAGGTCCAGAGCTTGGTTTACTAGAAAATGTTCCCTTATCATTGAAAAGACCCCCACTTGTCTTCTTCATGATCCCCCAAAACCCTCCCGAGTCGCCGCTGTTGATTTCGGCACAACAACAGAAGCAACACATGAGAGTCTTTTGGCCCAACAAACACATCTCTTTAGCACAACATCCAAGTCACATGAAGCGCCTCAATCATCTGTCCCATCTCTTCATCCAATTCAACCACCTCAGCATGAGCGAATCGCGGAGCACCCTCCGCGCCCCGCCCCGAACCGTGAACTCGTCCATGTGTTTTGACCGTTGTTGCCTGAATTGGGGGTTAGACTTCCATCAGTCAAAACGATCCAATTCGGGGTAGGATGATTGTACAATGAGTCTTGTAAAAATTGTTGAAAATATTGTGCAGTGACCTGGTATTGGTCTATGTAGTGATTGGACTATCTTATCTATGATGATGGTGGAGGCTAGCGTGAACTATGATGTTGATCAATGGGTTTGTTCAAGAATCAACATGGATATGTTCAGTACTTGTTTCTCAGCTTGCATCAAAGAAGTGGCTGGCACGGGAAAAAGGGAGATGAAAATCTTTCCCACCTGCCGCACACTTGGTGGGAAAGGAGTTTTAAAGGGTTTCTTTGTTACTGGTCAAAAGGAAGCTAGCCAAGCAGATTTTGCTCTTTAGATCTCTATCCCTTTCTTTTTGCTGGACCTTTCCTTTGGTCATTTAAGAACGGAAGAAACAAAATCCACGAGCTTTGGGCATCCAAGCCACAGAGTGATCGCTGGTCTCGAGAGAATGCAGACGACTGCCCATGTGAACCAAGACTTTATGCGCTTCTTCCAGGTCAGATTCAAAGCGCTCTCTCTCCAACTTCTTGATATACTCCTGCCGAGATTTAAAGGACACGTCCAAGCAATTTAAAGGAATGAAAGGAATGAAAGGAATGGAGCATCCAGCACAGACGAGCCAACCACATCATTCCAAAATGAAATTTCATTGGGTTGAACCTGCTGAGGATAACTGCTTCGGCCGTCATTTGGACCTCTCAAGTTCTCTTCATGTGATCTTCTGTAGCACCCTCACTCTCTAGACTCATAGGGTTTCAACGCATGAGAAGCACCGAAACCAACGAAAGTTCAAAGCCCACCGATGTCGCACTGAAAAAAGGTAAGGTACTCTAGAAGATCGGTTGTCGCAATTGTATCAGACTTTCCAGCAGTGTCCCCGCGGGACAGAAAATCTCTGACAACCTCCAACCACACTCGGAGTCTGCGCCCAATTGAATGCCATCGGATCATATCAAGTTCCATCACATCCTACATGATCTCACCTAATTTTTCCAGAACTCCGTCGACTGTCTGACTCCTTGAGCATCTTGCGGCAAGCCATGTAGAAGAGGCCCAAGCCGCCCGTGAAGGTCGCCGGCAGCAACAAGGCACGCTCCGGGGGGCCTGGAATGATGTTCTCCTCAGGCCCACCGGCCGAACACGTGGCCGGGCTGAAAAAGGCTCCTGGTGGGATTTCAAGCCGAGTGGGACCAAGCCTTGCTGGGAGGTCAGGCGGATATCAAGCGAAGCCGTCAACGGTCGAGACTGGCACGATGTGGTCAGAGGAATCGAGCTGCGGTGGTCTGGGGAAAATGTTTTTTGGGAAAGGGTCTGTTGTTAGAGGCTCCATGATCGTCTGCGGAGGGAGTTCCAAAATTGTCGGTTGGCTTCACGGATGCGACCCAAAAGTTTCCGCAAAGAGCGTTCTTTGTATGAGCCATGCTTGAATCCACCCAGGCGTGGGTCATCACTCGGGATCACTTGACCCAGGTTGGCGTGTGGCAACCCTTCCGCATTTCTATAAGTGTGTGTGTGTGTGCCCCTTGTACTCACAGGGATCCACTCGGATTGTGCTGATTGTGTTTTTAACTTTGTTGAGCAGGGGGGTGCAGAGCACAGTGGAGACTGCACCCAACGAAGCTATCCACTTGTGCTGGAAGCAGAGCCTGATCAGCTCTGTGTACCTGCTTGAATTTTAACATTTGCCGAGATGGGTCGTAAAGTGCTAGTTGCATTCCGCAGACACGCACGCCGCGTCGTCATCTGTCGGTTCGATGTCGACTTCAGCTTTTGGCCCCACTTCCTCTTGAAGACCTCCAGGTTCCGTAGGTTTGTCTGTCCTCTTCAGGATTGACCGCTGCGGTCACGTAAAGGCATGAGCCAGCTTGCGGTTCAATAAAATATGGACAGAATTCGAGCTACTCTGGTCCCGGGCGCAGGGACAAAGACCAACCCCCGTTTAACGGGTCCACAGGGGCCACTCTTCGGGTCAGCCTGGGCTCTCACTAGGAGAGACACACTTATAGAAGTGCGTACGGATGTGAATGCGGTGCCACACGCCAACCTGGGTTCCCAAATCTGCCAGCCATTTTGGCACGGCGTATGTGGCCGCAGCGGCCGAAGCTTGTTCAAGACTCGTTGGAGTCTGTCGTGAGCTTAGGTGCACACGAGGCTTGCCTAGGTTCTTTAATGAGGTTTGGGTTCATTGGCTTTTGTCCCCTCCATTTGGTTCCCTTTTCATCCTTTTCCCCTTCACACACCTCTGCTTACCTCTTTTCTTTCATGTCCTCCTGTCTTCATGTCTTTCATCTCATCCTTTCTTTCGTTTGCGCGCACATTGGTCCCGGCCTTAGCGTGTACGTGCACAACTACATGCACTTTAAACCCAGGTTTTAGGTGGCCCAGGTCTTTATAATTAGGTGGGTTTCATTGTTTGTCCCTGTGCACTTGGTTCCCCTTTCATCACAACCACTTACACCTTTGTCCCGTCCCGTCCTCTTGTCATATCTTCATTTTTTTGTCTCTCGCGCGCGCACACATGCACATTTGCCTTAACCTTAGTTTTACGCCTCCCCTCAGGGAGGCGTGTGTGTGTGTGTGCAGCAGAGCCTGATCAGCTCTGTGTACCTGCTTGAATTTTAACATTTGCCGAGATGGGTCGTAAAGTGCTAGTTGCATTCCGCAGACATGCACGCCACGTCGTCATCTGTCGGTTCGATGTCGACTTGAGCTTTTGGCCCCACTTCCTCTTGAAGACCAGGTTTGTTTGTCCTCTTCAGGATTTGGGAACCCAGGTTGGCGTGTGGCACCCCATTCACTTCCGTACGCATTTCTATAAGTGTGTGTCTCCGCACCATCTTGCACAAATGAAGAAACATTGAACAAAAAGATGAGAGAGTGTTCATCACCGGAATCATCCAAATATGTATTCTTGACCCATGAATGAAGTCTCACCGGAAGCCCGTTTACTCGTTCACCCATCTAAAACAAACACCAAGTCTCCATGTAGATCCCCACAAGGCCACCGACAAAATAGAAGCTCCACAGGCCCATGAGCACTGCCAGCTTTCGGCTGTCCACACTCACCTCTGCTAGCTCCACATCATCCAATTTGGAACGGCGACAGCCCTTGCCTCGACGATCAGGGGGTGGAAGCGAAGACCATTGAACGTTCAGCCAAACAAATACAATCAAAAACGATAAGAAAAGGAGGACGCCCGGTTGAATTCTCCATCATCATCATCATCATCATCATCATAAAGGGAAAGAAACTTGGTGGTGTCGTGTTCTTCGTTTACGGGCTCAGTGTTCGACCTCTGAAACCTGAAACTCAGTTGTTCGGTCGAAACGGTCCATAGAACATTCCCCTCGGAAGAATGTTTTTAGGAGGGTCCAAACATGTGGCCAGGCTGAGCAGATCGATCATTCAACGTGCGAGCACCACAAGCTGACCCTTGGTCGGGCGGCTTGCACCACATCTCAGGGACTGCTTTCGACACTCATGCTCATGACTCATGGAATCCGTGACAGCATCCGTGTCTCAAAGCTGGTCAAGGCCACCTTTCAGAAAGGGCAGTGTCATCCACTACATGGTGGACCATCCAAAATACAAGGGATGGATGGATGCCCTGATTTGGGAGACAGCTTCTTCCCCACAAAAAGTTTCTTTTTAAGGGAGTCCCACTTCCCAGGCTGCCAATCCATCGGTGGATACACGCGAGTAAAGCTACCACCAAGCACTGGCCCCACTAAATCCACCATGCTACGCAGGTAGATCATGCTGATCCGCCCCAGAGTGGAGCCGATGTCGGTGACAGTGCCTGTCACGTGTGTCGTGCGAATGATGGCACCGAAATGAGAAGTGCACATGGCATTCTGAAGTCCGCAGGCGGCAGAGACGAAGCACACTGGCAGCAAGCGCCCTGGAAGAAATGCGGCTAGCACCAGCAAGGTTGAGTTCAACACAAGCGCCAAGCCGTAAAAGGCCTTGCCCAAGAAGTGGACTTGATTCTTGTCAATCAAAAGACCGCATGCGTAGGCACCGAGCACAAAGGAGAGTACCAAAAAGCAAGCCTCTTTCAGGCTCTCTGATCCGTATTCTCCTTGATGATAGCCTTCCAATCGAAAAGCCATGGCGGACGTACTGCCAGTCACATGTGATGCATACAGGTGCCAGCTCTTGAAAGCTATGACATTTGCAGCACCAGCGCAAGCCGCCAGGCACCAGCCAAAGCCCAAGACCCAAAACTTTGGACGCTGGAAGCTCTTGCGGATCTGCGCAGCTTTCCTCGGAATCATCAAGTGTGTACTAAGAAATGGGCCTGAGACATTAAAAAAAGAGAGCGGGTGGGCATGGGCCCGCAAAGTGATATGGACTGGAATCGTTTTCTGCAAAAACCTTTTAACAACATCTTCTTTGTAAATGTTGTCTCGTGTTCAAAAAGTTGGGATGTTGAGGAGGAGAAGACATTCCCTGACCTCTGCATTTTACAGGCACTACAGTCGCTACAGCAGGTTTGGCTCTGAGTGTTCAAAAGAAAATGCAGAGAATGTTCTCGGATCTGGCAGTTTATCTATTTTTGGGAAGCTCAAGCTTTTTACAAGTTCTTAGCATATTGTCTAAAATCTGGAGATTCCACAAAAACCAAAAGAACTGCAAAGACGCCCGTCTTGTCAAGGTGTGCTGGCAAAATGATCTCAGCTTTTGTTGCTCTCTTTGGACGCTGGAGTCTGGAGTTGGCTCAATCAGAAGATATACAGTGGTAATGTTCTTTTAAGTTGATGGTCCTGTTTTTAATTGCAAGAAAAAATAGGGGAAAGGAGTGCGCGTTTTCGACGGGGATTGAGGCATGTTCGACAAAACTACTCTCACCCACTGAAGCTCAAGAGGATGACTGTGTGGTCCACGTGCGGAAGCGCAGGGTGTGACTGCATGAAAGTAGCTATCTATCCGGGGTGTACGTTTGGATGGCGAAAGTGCCATCAGCCCGTTTTCCACTGGTCAAACAAAAGGTGTCCATCCTTTTTTACCCCAGCAAAGAAGTTCGATTTAGGGGCAGAAGGAGATCGATCCTTGTAGATCATTTCACTTGCAGAAAAGCGTCTCTCGAATCTTCTTGGTGGGACTCGACTTCTGCGACGTGGGGGTCAAAGGGGCGTTCTGAGACTCTGGCACTTCAAGCTGCGTCATGGGTCGAGAACAGCTGCGAAAAGACGGTTCCCGCTCGGGTGTGGAAAAGATCTGCGGGTCGAGAAGCAAGTCCGAACACCAAGGTTTGATCCATCTGTGATTGTCACAGGTCACTGGGTGACCTCTGGAAGGATCAACTTCAAAAAGACGAACAGAACACGGTACTTCAAAGCGCATGGAGCTCAACACCTTCCCAATGAATCCTCCCTGTTGAACTCTGTTCTTTCAAAGGCAGAACTGTTCAAAGTTCCAACTCACTTCTTCGAGTCCACCTCAGGTCTGGCTCGGACTCTTTCTTCATCGGAGCTGTGACATCTTTCTGAGTCGGAGATTGAAGGCTGTACACTCTTTAAATAGAGGGCCCTTATTCTACAGTCTACACTGATTGAAATCATCATGAATCATCATGGTATCGTGGAGTGAGTAAGGAGTTCATGGACATCTGAGGCTCAGGGCCATCCATGTACAGTAACCATGATGATTCAATGATGATTCTAGGGAGTGTAGTGCGAATGATCTTCTATATTTCCACAAGAAGGCTGAGCCCACCATCCCTGTCAGAAGGAACTCCACCCTGCCGAGCCTGTCGAATACTCCCAGACTCGCTTCACCCAAACACGAGCACGACGGGCTTTTAACGTCTTAGCTCGTCGGACAGGCCGTTGGATTCTTTAACAGGTGGCCGTTTCCGCTCTGGCTCATCGTACCAGGAAGCCCTGCTCCACAGCTGAGTTCGAGCTTGGAATAGTCAAATGTCACATTTCTAGCGAACCGGATCGACTATCCACAAATGCTGACTGAGAATTTTGGCACACAGGCCCCTCCAGCTAGCTAGGTTTTGTTTGTCTCTCCAGACCCCAGATTGGGGCTGGGTGCTGGTAAAAGTTCTCTGACTGACACGATCCCAGTGCCTCACAACAGCTCGGACCAGAGCCCAATGCATGCTGTACAGTGTCCCAAAATTGCCGCGCACTTCACAAGGAGATAACACTGCGGCGCGGGGGGGTGTTTCTCAGCAAAACGCTGGGGACCAAAATACAGCAACTCGAGATGGTTGAGGCTGAGAAACCAGCTGTGAAAACCAACAAATGGGAGGACAAACCGTAAGAAGAAATGTTCACGTGTCATGTTGAGCACCTCCCCCAACCAGTCCGCCCTGGTAGCACCTCGCCAAGAAAAAGCAAAAGTGGCGAGAAGTGTATAGGTCCATCCAGGGGTCGAACCGTCGCGATCCCTCCAGCGGCGATCATTAAGTCACCAAGGTTGATCTTTGCCTCAGGATGGGTGTCCGATCTGTGGCAGAAGCAATGCGTGAACTTGGTTTTAGCAACCGGGGTTCTCCTGCCAATGGGCTCAAACATATCCGTGTCAATCATCTATTGCCCAGTGGGCCACTGACACGCAAAGAGATGAGCATCGAAAAGTCGAATGTGGCGAAAGAATGGGAGCTGTCCCCTGCCTTTATGTGCAGCAATTATACTTGTACGAAAAGTAGAAAGAGAGAGAAAAAGAGAGAGAGAGAGAGATGAAAAACGAAACAAATTGGAAAAATAAAACCAAGCTAACACCCCGGAAGAGATCTCGGTAGACTCTTATCCAAACCAGGAACCCTTTTGCGAAACCGTGCGAAAGAATTGGCTCAAATAGCAAGAGTTCTACAAAAGGCTTGCACACTGGCCCATCCGATGGTCAAAAACCGTTCTTCCCCACAACGCATTTGTTTTTTGCTCGGTGAGTCGCCAAATCTGTTTACACTGTAAACACTGTAAACAGCTGTAAACATGTTGAATTATATAAAATCGGTATAGTGCCAGTGCCACAAAAAATTGGTATATAGATCATAGAGAGACTCATCAAACCTACAAACGAATGAGTATTTGGTTGTGGGTCAAGAACGGGAGGCCTTGGTTGACCCTCGCTGGAACTTTATGTCTAAGCGGCGGAGCGCCAGCGCTACGGACGCTTTCCGCAGCGAATGTTCCCTGCTGATCAGGTTGAATTCTCCTCGGTCATAATCACACCGCGGCGATCTGACCAACAAGAACCCATGTCAGGCACATCATGGAAGCTTCAAAAATACATATTGTATATATATAATATATATATATATGTATGAATACATATTTTTTATTTTATTTGTTTATATGTGTATATATATATATGTGTCACCCTTGCTTTCTGCAAATGATCCGATGCCCCGCCCAGCATGGGGAAGCTGCAGCTAAACATCAATGGAGCGCAAGGACCACAAAGCCAATGTGACAACAACTGTAGATAAAGCAGCAAATCAACTCAAGGTCCGCAAATATCCCGTGTTGAGGAGGCCCGGGTGGGCAAAGTTCTTGAGAGCATTCATGAACTACGAGCGATAGGGACCATCACTCTTGCTCAGATGCCCCGCCCAGCATGGTGCTGTCGCCCACATGGATAACTCATGATACCTCCATCACTGCGCCATTGCAGCCATTCCATGCTCCAGCGGCTCTTTACCACGGTTGCTCTCCAAGATGGCCTTCACCTTGCGCGACCTGACATCCTTTCTATCAGCGCTTGCACCTTCCATGATCTCTTTCACCAACGGGGCGAGCACGTCTGGAAGCAACGCCTGATCTTGCTCCACTGCTTCTTCTATTTCCCCCAGCCTTTCTTCCCGCGGCCTTGTCCTTTTGCGGGATCTGGCTGGTGCCGGGTGCGGCACTTCGATTAAGTGCTTCTTTAGAGGCGTCCATCCGCGTTCCCCTCACTCACCTCCATCCTCTTTGCGCCAATTCAGAACCAAGGAGGGCAGAGGGCCATCGGACCCTTGGGCCCCCATTGACAAGTAGACACCACCTGGCCGGCGTTCCAGCCGAGCTCGTGCCACAACGCCGGCGGCTCGCAATCAAGCAGTGGGTGTCCAGCCCCAGTAGTGGCTCGCAGCCTAGAGACAAGATGGAAGCATTGATCAGCAAAAATTCCCACAGCTCAGCCTGGTCCTCTTCAACCTCTGCAGCTGCTGAGAACCGAGAGGATAGATCGGCTGCTGGAGCCTACGGAGAAACTAGCTTCATTGGCCTCAACGTCGTCTTGGTGATCTGAATGGTCGGTGTTATTCTCGCGATACTGTGCCCGAGGACAGCAGCACCGCCGGCCAGCTTTCCTCTTCCTCCTCTTCCTCCTCTTCGGGAGAGATTCGGTGAGGAGCTGTAGCACTGTAGCCAAAACCGCACTTCGAGTCGTCGCCAAATGCCGCAGCGCCACAGCATCATTGGCCGATCCACTAGGCCATCCAAGGCGTAGTTGCAGCACGTCCATACCACCCCACACCGGCCGCGTAGCCATGAAGAAAGAGCACTCCCAACCTAAGTGATACCAAGAAGAGACGACATCGTCCTGCTGACACCATTCACATCCCACCTTAGTGTGGCCATAGCTGATGACCTGATATACTGCTGAAGAATTTGCCGCGCCAGTTAAAACCGCACGGACATGATTGTCCCCTTCTTCGAAAGCCTTAGCAACAAGCTTGCACCTAGATTCGTTGAAACCGACACCAGCCTGAGCCAGCAAAACACTGTCCCGTCGACTTTTGCTGAGGAAAGAAGACCATCTCGACCTCCTCCAACTATTGTTCTTTCAGACGAGCACTACGAGACGCATCAGAAATCGCCTTCAACTTCTGGACAACTTTGAACTCAGCATCTGCCCAAGAACTCCACGGGAAATGTCGAGGCCATGATTTCTCCACATGCCGAAGTAAACCCTCATCACAACGGCCCATGGACAAGAACTGCCGATTTGCCTCTCTCACCCTACCAAGAAGCTTCCGCAGAGATCTTTCCCTAAAAGAGCCATGCCGAAAACCACATATCCGAAAATTAGAAGCAGGAAGAACCTTAGGCATGCTACCCTTCGCACGGATACAAGAGGCGCTGGGACGACCAGTCCCAGAAAAGATCCGCTCAAGTTTAGCGTTGAACCACTTCCATTCGACCTCAACATTGACTTCATCCTTAAACGGGAACACAGTGTCATCATTAAGCCAAGCCACACTTAACTCTTGTTTCCACTGTTGCTTCTCAAGGTCCTCTGGACAAGTGTACTTTTGAGTTTGCACCCTAGAGAAACACTGGCCTTCAGGAAGAACACCACGGACTTCAAACTGCACACCTTCGTGATCGCCAAAAGCTTCGTCAAGGAAGCCCTGTGCAGTGCCAACAACATAGTCAATAGCTCTAGAGCCCTTCCAACGAGCGGGGATGAAGCCGGTACTATCCTCCACAGCAAGCAAGGAGAAAACGTCCGGGTCGAACAACACATTCTCAGACGAAGTCCAATTCCAATCACCTGCAAGGACCAAACCCAAGCCATGCGCGTTCGCTTCCTCACCAAGGAACCCAAGAAAGTCATCACTATCAGGAGGGTCGCAGTGCCCCTTCCAAACAGAAGCCACTATGACATCCTTAAGCGCAACAGCCACAACTTGGCCAGATTTAGCAGAGAAGACGGACCAAACCCGAGCGTGAAGAGAGGCTCGAACCAAGACCGCCGCACCACCTCTATACTGACCACTAACTTCCGATGGCTCGGTTGTCCACAGCCGAAAGCCCGCCAAGTTGGCACACCGAGTCATCGAGTTCAACGCATTAGGATCAAGGAAAGTCTCTTGCAAGAATACGACATCTGCAACCAGCTGTCGGTCACAAACCATTTTAACAAAGCTCCAAGTCAGATCACGACTTCCGCAATTCAAAGTGAGACCACGCCATGAACCCGGCCCGGGTTGGGACTCCACATCCCCATCTTCAACCAAGTCACGCTGCCACGACTTTTCGATCGAGTGATCAGAGGGGTTCAAAGATTTCACTCCAGTGGTACGACACTTTTTCGAAGCGAGAGAAGGGCCAAACCACTCGACCGCCTGCGCCAAGCTCACATTCCAAGCTGAAGCAAGCGCCAGCCTTTGGTCCTCAGAAAGCCGCCGCCAGAGTGCACACTGCGCAGCCAAGGGACACGGCCGACTGCCAGGGCAGTTGAAATTCCAATGACCACTTCGACGCGTTCCTCTGCAACGAGTACAGGTCAGGAAAGTAGCAAAACAAGCCGGCTTCTTAGACCGCAGAACTGGCCACTTCTGACTGTCAACTTTGAGCTCCACCAACTCGTGACCACCAATGCTATAGTTCCGGCTCTTGGCAGCTCTATCAACATTTCGGCACCTGACCTTTTGGGCAAGTTCAAGACGTTGAGCTTTCTTCTTGCGCGTCTTCAGGAGTTTAGCACGGGCCTTGCAAACAGCAACACGACTAGTGTCACGTTTGGGATGCTTCGTTTTATAGTGGTGGGTGACTGCCTTGTCGTGATCCCACTTACCCAACTGAGGAAGACTAGCTTCACAAAAAGGACACTCCCAAGCTCTTTGGTCCTGAGGCAGGGACGTCACGGCAACAACAACAGGAGTGTATTCTCGCATGCGATCATTCAGTTTGCTGCGATCTTTAGCATGAGCCTTATTAACATGATCAAGGCGTCTTGAAGCCAAAGAAGCACGTGCATCATCTTTACGGAGAACCAACTGACAATAAGGACAAGTCCACATCGTTTTGGGTACCCTCTTGCCCGTGACTTGACGAGCAGGTGTCGAAAAAGCAGCAGGAGTGGCTTGCTTTCCAACAATCCGCATCTTTTGGAGTCCAAACATGCAGGGAGCTAAGGAACCAACATCCTGGGATCTGAGGTCCGTACCAAGCAACTGAGAACTCGCAGCAGATCCAGCGAAGTTGTTCTTCCGACAAGGGGCTGTTTGACCACCAACTGAGCCAACATTCATGCCAATCGGTTTGCCCCCGTGGCCGCTCGAAGAAGCGGGTTGCTCAACACGGGGCTCAACAAAGGAGGGAGTGCACCCCCCGAAAGACAAAGACTTTGCCGTACGTCCACCAACTGAGTCTGTCTTTCCGCCACCTCTGTGAAGACCTCGACCACCCTTAGTTTTTCCCTGTTCCGCCTTAGCACGGAGCCGAAGAGCTGCCTCAGGAGTAACAGAAAGAGCTTCGTAATGGCCTTCCTGCTGGCTGTGGAAAAGAAAATATCACGATTTGAACCCGGAGGACAAAACCCGTACACCTGACCAGCTTCGTGGAGAACAAAAACTGGTCTATCCATGGTGGTGGCAAGGGCAGCCAATTCGAGGCTCCCTGCCCAGGATCCAATTTGAGCAAGTTTGCCAATGTACTCATCAAATCCATCAATAGTTTCTTTCACACATTTGGTACCATCAGGCCACAAATTGTCCCACCACATGAAATACTGATCGCGATGCTTTCTCAAATGCTTCACAGCAGCAGCGCGGATTGATCTGTGACTATGTTGTTGTTTGCTGGTCGCTTCAATCGACTGAGAAACAGCAATAAACAAACAATTGCCGAGACCCTCATTCTGGATCCGAATCACACCCTCCGGAAGGGGTTGAACCTTGAGGCGCTTCCGCTCAGGGCTGGTCCCCACCGAAGCAGTGGGTCGTTTCCCTCCATCACCCTCTTCAAGAGCATCTTGAGACATAGCATCCGACTTCTCCTCCGACTGGGTAGCTGGAGGATCAACTGAGGCCGGGGCCGATGCCTCAGGAGCCAGAAAAGAACCACTAGAAGTGGCGGTTCATGCCTCAAATCAACCCGGAATTCTCCTTTCAACCTGGTAACATTGTTAATAAGTCGAGGGTTACGATAACGCTCAACCACCACAAAACGACCCTCATCAAAAGAAGATCCTTCATAGAGCAACCCCAAATTTCTCGCGCTTCTTGACGTTTAACTCAACTTCCGTGAAATGAGCAGCCTGCAGGAAACGGACAACATCATCAGCATCCCGATGTCGCGGGGCAGAACGCATGACCCAAGACTGACTACGTTTGGTCACAACTTTGCTCTCCTCAGACATGGAGCGCACCCCAAGCTGCCTCCAACCTCTGGCGATACCATACTCAATGGCAAGTTTCGCAACTCGAGAGGCGTAAGCATTGTCCTTTTCTTGGGGGTCCTTATCGATCCAGCTGACGAAAGGTTTCACACCTGCAGGAGTGCCTTCCCAAGCCAAGGGATCTAAAAAGAACCTACTACCATCATGACTCCTACCACTAGCAGACAACAACTGGCCAATGAAAGGACCCTTTTTCACACGAATGAGACCCTTAACAACGCTGCCAATGCCAGCAGCTCCACTCTGAAGCTCCCACCCCCAAGTGTCCTTGATATAAGCAGAAACTTCATGGGCGACACCTGCAACCCACTTCCGAGCATGCACGCCAGGGTCTGACTGGATGCGCTTCCACGCTTCAGACGAAGTGAATCGAGAGTCAATCGAGAACCTGACGACCAAGGTGTCATCTTGCCTCGGCTTTGCCTCTTTTTGCCAGCCGGTCTTTCAGCCACAGGAACGACCAAACGGAGTTTGTCAGAATCTTTACCCTCAGTGCTCCATTTCCACACGCGCCTAGTGACCACTTCCTCATATTCAGCCAGCTCCTCCTCAGTGAAGGATCCCCTGCGGCTGGTGCAAGGGAGGCAGCGGGTTGGGCAAAGCTCAGGATCAGGATCAGGAGGCGGACCGCCGGCCAAATCCATCTCAGCTCATGCACCACTTCAAGTGCGTATGCCCACGCTGACATGCACGGGCCGGCTTTGAGCCAAAGTTGTTGAGGGCATTCATGAACTTCAAGTGATAGGGAAATATGACGATGTAAAAGCATTTTGGCTGGAGGGTTCATGAGGGTTCTATTTATCAGCATTCAACATTACTTGGGTAGAGTCGATGAAAGTCAACGTAGGTGACTTGTCCAATTCCATGGGCTGAGGACAGGAATGATGAACCGCAAAAAGCCTTTCCACGCATGATGATTGGGTACACAAAAGCATGTAGCTCAGCGACCAACTTGCTCCATCCAAAGCATGCATGGAAGTCGTCCCAGAAAAGAATGGCAACTGCTGCTTCTCGCGGTCCCCCTTTTCTCAAAAAAAAAAAAAACGGATCCAGAGTGAAAGCCGCCCAAACTGGGCGTTTTCGCCCAGCGACTTGTTCGAGGACCTGGCTGTGTTGGTGGCATAAAATCTCAAAGCCTGTCTCCACTTCCTGAGGTGAATGAATCGACTTAGTGGCCAAAAATAGCAAACCAAAATGGACTAAGCACCCGACCCAAACTTTTTCGGGCAGGAGACTCAAGCCTGCGCTTTCAAAAAGGCAATCTTTGCAAATCCAGGCTTCATGAAGTGCTTTGAACATGTGACCCATCTCTGCATCCCATTCAACCACCTGAGCTGTCTGGTTGGAGAAGAACTAAAGAAAAACTTCTAGTAGTCGTGCGCTCTCTCTGCCTGTTTCTTTTCGCATGGCGTGGCTCTTCCGTCTATATACTACAAAAAATGCTGCCGGACTTGGGAAAATTCTCGAACCTTGAAGCACCAAAGTCTCTGAGCGATCAACCAAGCCACTAAGTGGTCACTGTGCTCGAGCGTCTGCAACCGGCTGCCCATGTGCGACAAGACTTTCTGAGCTTCTTCCAGGTCGGATTCGAAGCGCTCCTTCTCTAACTTCTTAATGTAGTCCTGCGCGACATCTCCCGAAATCAGACATATCACAGAATATTGTTTCTCTACGAGGACCTACCTAAGGACCTAGCTTGCATTTGAGTTGGACCTATTCACAAACAACCCAGGTTGGATCCATGGGCTCATGCATACCTCACGCTGCTTGAGTCCCAAAAGGGATCCAAGCAACCTGTAAGGAGGCAATCCACGGCCTTAATTTAAACAGAAAGGGTCGGCTGCTATGACTATGTTTTTACATTCAGTTCGAACGATGCTGGTGGTAGAACCCGGCTGAGAATCAACTCAACTTCCAACCTTGCTACACTGGCCATGTATCTCTTTTTGAAGCTCCGGCCCTAGCTCTCCACCCTCAGTCCTTCAAAATCTGTCGACAGGCCATGTAGAAGACGCCCAAGCTTCCAGTGAAGGTGGCAGGGAGTAGGAGAACTCGCTGAGGCGGCGAGGGAACAACATTCTCCTCAGTTCATGGGCAGTTATGGAAGCCAGACTTTGGGGGACTTCCAAGCGTCGGTTGGCAATGGTTTGCCTTTTCCTACTCAACAGTAGCATGGGAAGACACCCATCTCAAGTTGGGCTCCAGCAACAGGGGTTCTTTTTCCGTAATGGATACGTTGCAATTGCATGTGCGATTGTCCCCGCAGAACAGAGTGGTCGGAGCAGATCTGCGTCTAGTCTAATCTAGTCTAATTCTTTAGGAGACTGCATCCCACAGTCATAAACAACTCCGAAACTTGCAGTAAGCCCAACCTGCCCCACAGCAAACCTCAGCAACCGCTCTTGAAGACATGTTTCCATATAAATCCCAATTAAGCCACCAATGAAATAGAAGCTCCACAATCCAAAGAGCACCCCAAGCTTTCGACCGTCCACACCCACTTCCGCACGCTCCACGTCATCCAAGCGCGAACGACGGCAACCCTTGCGAAGGTAGACCATGCTGATACGGCCCAGTGTGGAGCCGATGTCGGTGACAGTGCCTGTCACGTGTGTCGTGCGAATGATGGCACCGAAATGAGAAGTGCACATGGCATTCTGAAGTCCGCAGGCGGCAGCGACAAAGCAAACCGGAAGCAGCCGCCCTGGAAGAAATGCGGCTAGCACCAGCAAGGTTGAGTTCAACACAAGCGCCAAGCCGTAAAAGGCCTTGCCCAAGAAGTGGACTTGATTCTTGTCAATCAAAACACCACATGCAAAGGCTCCAAGTAGGAAAGACAGTACTAAAAAGCAAGCCTCTTTCAGGCTCTCTGATCCGTATTCTCCTTGATGATAGCCTTCCAATCGGAAAGCCATGGCAGACGTACTGCCAGTCACATGTGATGCATACAGGTGCCAGCTCTTGAAAGCTATGACGTTTGCAGCACCAGCGCAAGCCGCCAGGCACCAGCCAAAGCCCAAGACCCAAAACTTTGGACGCTGGAAGCTCTTGCGGATCTGCGCAGCTTTCCTCAGATTGACAAACGGGCGGGGCAAACGATGGCGACGTGGAATTGAGCTTCCAACATGCGCAGCTGTCATCGCCAAGGGCCATTCCAACAGCAATCCTCGTGAATATAAGTGTTGGAAGAACAGCAAGCTAAGCAATTGATCTAGCTGTTTGTAGTTTGTGTCAATGTCGAGGGTAGTTCTGCAAAATGTGGGGGCTCCACTTTTGTAAGGTCACGTCGAGTTCCTGTGGGTGCTTGGAAAGTCATCTGTGATGAACCCCAAAAAGCACTACAGTAATATCCTATGTTTTCAAGCTCGAGAAACACGAGAGAAGTACAGTACAAGCGGGAAGCCCCCGCTCACCGCCGATCGTGACAGGAAAAGGTGCCTTCCAAGCAAACAAACAACCCTTGAGCGAGCAAACTAACAACCCACCCACCAACCCAACCAACCAAACACCACCACCCAACCGACCAGACTGGCCAACCAACCAATCTTCCTCCAAGGAAATTTCAAGGTGTGATCCGATCCATGGTGTTTTTTTTTGGGGGGGTAACCTACTTCACATCTCCAGATCCTTCCCTCCAAGCATCTCCCTCATCCTCTCTGTCTGAGTGGATTGCGTAGACACCGGTGATATACACGTGTGGGGCGCGTCGCACGCTGGCGCGTCACACGCGGCTAAGGAAGAAGAGGGCATCGAGACGGGGGGCGGATCAGTGGGCAGCTTTCTCCAAGATCTGCGGGGGGCGAGCTCGACAGATCCGAGCGAAAGAAACGAAACGACGGGAACACAGTTCATGACGCCGTTCCAAGCACATTCACTTGCCAAAGTAAGCATTTGAGAGATACTCTCGCTTTGGGAGGCGGGAGAACCCCGTGGCTTGTGGGTTTCAAGAAACTCGTCGATCATCTCGACAAGAGCGCTCATCCTTTTGCTATGACTTTGAAGGTCTGGCCCAAGTCTTCCAGGCTGCCTTGCCCCTCGTCCCCACTATGTCGAGATAGCCAACCGCTATGGCCCATGTCAAGCACCCAACAACTGCTCAGAAAACTCAAAGCTCTAAGGCATATCTTCGAACAAATCACAAAGACTGCAGCTTGTCGACATGGGCCACACTGCTTAGCAGCCAATCAGTTTTGGGAAGAAGGTCTCAAAGATGGCCCTAAAGGGGCCACGATACGCCCAACCCGGCCAACTATCACCTGCGAACGGCCCAAACGGTCTTCGCTGCTTAAAAGACGGTGGTCAGGTGCCTCGGCATGAGTGTACGAACATGCAAGAACACGAGGCCTCACAGGGGGTCTTGGTGGAGCACTGACGGCCTTCCTTTCCGAGGTTCCTGAAACTTGAGCAGCTTGAAGAGAAGGAGAGCAACTTAGGCTTCTCAATGGAACTTGTGGCCTGCAGAGCATGAATTCCTTGCAAGGACTTCGCTTCGCAGCCGTTGCTAGACAGGTGCCAGCAAAGGTGGACAATCCATCTAGGCAGGGATCATACCTGGAGCTGATAGAGACGAGCCGAAGTGTTGTTCTATTCTACACCAACAGGTACTGAGAGATGGCAACTCCGCCAGTCGAACGATGCTGGCCAAGGGGCTATACGGATGCTTCACGCAAGCTTTCTCCACACAAGCTTCAAACCTTGCTGGAGAATCTGCTGGTTCCACTTTCCTGGCAACGAGCAGAAGATTCCAGGTATGAACTGCCAAGCGTGTGAGAACTTTACACCGCTTTGCATGAGGAATTCGGCCCGGCTTTCTCCCACTAAGGGCCAACCCAGAGCAGCTGGGCTGCCAGAGGGCTGGCAGCCAAAAAAGCCAAACCCACAGCAACTCGACCAACATCCAAGCCGCTTTGTTCGGCCAAAATTTGTGCGGGGCCTCAAAATCATATCACAATCACCAGTTAAAACAGTTCAAGTTCAAGTTCTTCGATCAACCCGAAAGAAGACATATCAAACACCCTGAACCTTTCCCAAAACAATGCTGCACAGATCTGCGCACCCAAAGGTTCGGAAAAATGGTCCATGATCTTCCCATCTTCCCATCCAAGCGACGGTGCGATCCAGGATCTGGCTGTGTTGCCGGCAGAGATTCTCGAAGTCCGCCTCCACCTCGTGGAGCGCCTCGATCATGTGTCCCATCTCTGCATCCATCTCGGCGACCTCGAGACCGTCCGCATGGCGGCCCCACCACATTTGGGGGCAGTTTCGACGAGGAGGGAGGTCCCGTTCAGTGGACGGAACCAAGCACGGCTCTACTCCAAGACCCTCAAGAGTCATGGAACAAAGCTGTTCCTGTTTTACGTCCCAGATTGCATTGCTGTGAATGGTTCTGAGGGAGAGCAGGATGCAGAGTGCACTTTTCGACGTGTCTGATGTTCATAGATCCAAAAGCTTAGTCCACTCCTACTCCTACTAATTCTTTTCTTTTTCCTTTTCCTGTTCTTCTTATTATTGTTTTTATTCTTCTTCTTCTTCTTCTTCTTCTTCTTCTTCAACTTTGTTCTGTTTCTTGTTTAAATTCTTAAGAATGGGAGTTCTTGGTGCTGCTTCCATGGAATGAGTACGCAAAACTAGCAGGAGGACAGCTTAGACGACAGTTGCCAAAACTAAAGAGAATAACACAAAAGAGACAAGGTTGCACCCCCAAAGTATCCAAAATGTCGGTTTGTTTTTGGCTTACTTGGGTTCTGACATGTTGATATCCCTTCTTTCTTTGGATTCTCAGTGTTGATCTTTGTGCAGGCTCTTTGCAGCAGGCCTCGCAAAGCTTTTGAAAACTGCACTGCCGACAAAAGCTCTGAAACGCCCTGCGAACTGCCCTCCCAGGGTCTGCTTTACTTGGTTGTATTAACGAGCCTGCAAAACCGGATCCGTGTGGTATGTATCCATTACATATCATTACAGATACTAAAAGAGACTGAGGCACACCTGGATCATACGTGGGGTGTGGTTCCTTCTTCCTTGGACGTTTGCCATTGGTCCATCCTCCCCACCAAGCCGGAACAGGCGGAAACGGGCTCTCCGGCTTCCCGAAAGCTGACCACTCACCTTCAGAAGTGGCGAAAAAGACCGCAATCCATCGGAGGAATCCCTTCGGCTTTCACCCCATCCAGCAGTTGAAGTCGAAATCCATTGGAAAACCGGTAAAACCCACCCGCCGGTTTGGCGAGTCACAGAAGTCTCGCTGTGCTCCATGGCATGGAGCCGGTTGCCCATGTTGGCCAAGACTTTGTGAGCCTCTTCCAGGTCGGATTCAAAGCGATCCTTCTCCAACTTCTTGATATAGTCCTGCCCAGGTCTTCCGTTTCAACAGACACGGTCTGATTTATTCGTTTCGACCGCCTGAAGGAGACGAACTATCGTGATAGTCACTTCGTGATGAAAGGTTTCATTTATATATATCATATATCGAATATCCTGGGGAGCATACCTCGCCGTTCACAGCTTCCTAAAAACATGAAAACATGTTCACATGATCTCGCACGATCTCACATGTTGCGTGATGAATGTGTGAATGGGAAGGCGTTTGGGCAGCCCGCTTGGAATATGTTTCCGCAGTAGTTCCTTTCATATTGTATGATGTGGCCCGCAGCCTTGACGGAAGTGTGTGATCAACAATCCAAGCACGTTCCCAGATGTGATCTGGTCATCCCCGCTTCCCATCACTGTCGACAGATTTGGTCCTTGAGAATCTGGCGGCAAGCCATGTAGAAGAGGCCCAGGCCACCCGTGAAAGTGGCCGGAAGGAGCAAGGCACGTTCAGGAGGACCAGGAATGATGTTCTCCTTGTCACCCAAGAAAACCACCCAACCGCCCAGTTCTTAACATTACCCCTATCAAGATTGCATGACTGACCCAAAAACTGTTTAAGAAGTCAAAGAAACAGGATGTGCTAGTGTTGGTGTACCACGGTATGGATGAGGGACCAGTTCCGTATTAGTGTAGACTGTCCATGAGTAAAACCGCATGTGCAAAAAGTAAAAGTAGACATGTGAAGAGGCTATACAATCCAAACTAAATGAAGGCTTTACTAATCAAGATCCTAATATACATAATTGGAACAGTCTGAAAAGCTTAAATCTTAGCTCTCTTGACTGGAAGTTCCGGATGTGGCCTGTGCAGCATCCTACCTCCTGCATCTCGATGGCTGTGGGTCAAAACCAGGATACCTTGACCTACCGACCTGACTTGCGCTCCGGTCTTGACGCTTCCCACCCTTCACCTTTCGGTGGGTACAGGGGAGTTGAGTTGACCTACCTGAGAGGTCGTTCGCTACATGATGAGCCAGGGCTCCAGGTTTTGACCCATTCTGTTGGCTTGGTTGTGTTCTCATGTTCGTTTCAATGCCGCATGTGGCTCTCGGTTTTCCGGTTTCTCCAGCTGCCTGTGAATGAGCACCCAGATGGAGCCCCCTAGTCCACGCTACATGTTGCAGGAGTGTCTGGTCTCGTTTCCTCTATACATCTACCCCGAAAAACCCAAAAAGAGAACCGGATGATTCACAATGAGGAATCGCTCCCCTTTGGCGTTGAACTTTTGCGCACATGTCGCTATGCAGGATAATTATGTTGATGTTCTGTTGCGCCAAGTCTTCTGGGAGCAATCCCACAGCATGCCAGTTCTGAAGTCCTCACTCTAGCCACTCTAGCCATATTTTCACCAAGTCTCCATGTAAATCCCAATTAAGCCACCGGCAAAATAGAAGCTCCACAATCCAAAGAGCACCCCAAGCTTTCGACCGTCCACACCCACTTCCGCACGCTCCACGTCATCCAAGCACGAACGACGGCAACCCTTGCGAAGGTAGATCATGCTGATACGGCCCAGTGTGGAGCCGATGTCGGTGACGGTACCTGTTAAGTGAGTAGTGCGGATGATCGCACCAAAGTGAGAAGTGCACATGGCATTCTGAAGTCCACATGCAGCAGCGACAAAGCAAACCGGAAGCAACCGCCCTGGAAGAAATGCTCCCAGCACAAGACAGGTCGAATTCAACACCAATGCCAAGCCGTAAAAGGCTTTGCCTAAGAAGTGGACTTGATTCTTGTCAATCAAAAGACCACATGCATAGGCACCGATCAAGAAGGCAAAGACTAAAAAGCAAGCCTCTTTCAGGCTTTCGGATCCCCACTCTCCTTTGTGGTAGCCCTCCAATCGGAAAGCCATGGCAGACGTACTGCCAGTCACATGTGATGCATACAGATGCCAGCTCTTGAAAGCTATGACGTTTGCAGCACCAGCGCAACCTGCAAGGCACCAGCCAAAGCCCAAGACCCAAAACTTTGGGCGCTGGAAGCTCTTGCGGATCTGAGCAGCTTTCCTTGGATGGGAAGACTCCGGGAATGACAAGGGGAGAGAACACCACCGTCAAAGCTCTCTATCATCCTCCACCAAGGGATGACCCAACCATCCAAACCCGACCTGTTTCTGTAGCAACCCCGACATCTCATACTGTAGCACTCACCACTGTGGTGCTTGAATAAAGGCATGAGTTGTGGCTCCAAAAGACATGGGTTCAACTGCAGTCATTTCCCTTTCGATCGCTTTAACAAGTTGTGGCCCGCATCTATCCCAATTGAACAACTGCAGTCAAACATGGGATGATCCCTGTCTTGCATCACATGCTAGAAAACACCTCTCTTGACCTTGGACATCATTGGACCTGCTCGACTACAAACTGAAGTCTTCCACCCCATCTCAGCCATGTCTGGAACAGCCCCCCAAACCCACCACCGCATGCATCGATACCCATCGACCCATGGATACCCAGTCCAAGAAACTCCTTCATCTGGACCGAACGGGCCGAGTTAGGCGACAAGGGTGCTTTGGGCACTTCCAACTGCGTCATCCACGGTCAAACGCGCGCAGGCCCTTGTAAGGCGACCCCCTTTGAGGGAAGACAGCGGGGAAGTAGGCTTTGGACCACAAATCCCTGCAGCTACATACCGCTACAGAAGTTCCCAAGTTCTTGTGAACCAGATGAAAAGCTTTCTCAGAATGAGCCTTTCTTATGATGAGTGTTCTTCAAAGAGCGGTGCTTTCGTGCTGCACCTTCACTTTCAGTGGAACCCCCCCACCTGCAGCACTGCAGGCGTCACACGCTTCGGGCCCTTCCGACGTGGACCTCGGTGGATGGTGACGTTGGGTCACGTTGGCTTTTGGTGGACCATCAGGACGTGACGAGGATTGTTTGTTTCGTGAGATCCCTGATGTGAGGTGACACTCTGCACCTGTCAGGTCGGGAACCTCCATCTGTCACCTGTCTAGACAGATTTCATCCACCACTCGAACCAAAGGGGAGAAAACCACCAACCGAAAGCTCCGACCCACCAGGGACCCCCTCACCGGATCCTAAGGGACCCCCTGCTGAAGTTGTCGTGGTCGCTTCTCCAGGAGGAAGACCTCGACTCGACAACAAGAGGCTCGAGTCGGCTCTACTGTGTTGATGTATTTCAAGTGTCGATGGGTCTTTGCTGCCGTGCTTGCGTTCCTTGGTTCCATGTCATGACTCACCAACAACCACAGTCGAAAGAAGAAAAAGACCGTCCAAGACCGGGACCGACGGCCGAAAAAATTAACAAGAACGAAGACGTAGGGAACCACGTCTCGTCCGGGACCCGTCCAGTGGCACCATGAAGTGTTGGTTGGTCCAATGTGGAAAACCATCGGAATGCCCCAATGGCAAGCTGAACCATCGACTCTGATCCAGGATCAAGGAGTACTCCCCCACAACCATGTATTTTCCTTCAAGACTCATAAAAAGACATGGTTTGCTTTGACTCGGCTGTATTTGACCTGCATAGGCGTAGGTGCTCCCAACACTTCAACACCAAGAAACGCCCTTGTCAAATAACACTGCCACAACGGCAGTGTTAAACAAATTGAAACATGCATCTGATTCAAAACCTAAGCTCCTTCAAGCAATGGTAGGTTGACCCTTTGGGGGTCACCGTGACCGTCCACCAGAATGGCACTGAATCCCCGTGCCTCCTTGACCGCCAGAGAGGTGGCCAGCGGCCTCAGATGCGCTGCCTCGCTGATCTCGCGCCTGGCGCAGGGCAAAGCAGTGGAGCAAATCAGTGGAGTCCATGCACCGAATATCAATGCCGAGGACCAAGACTTCTTGCAGTGTCAACCAAGGCAAAGTTCGCGCATCAAAACCCCGCCCACGCCCACGAGTGCGGACGACACGCGTCGAGACACTCACAACGATGACGCACTCAACGTCCAAGCAAAACCCATCACACATGGTGGGCATCCAAGCTCCAGTTGTCTCCATGAAACCCATCAAATGACCCATCAGAGTTGTGACGAAGAAACCACCACCGGTAACTGAAACTTATGCAATTACAGTTTAGAGTGACCCCAAGATCGACAGAGAAGCATGTAACCACACATCAAAACAAAAAAATACCTTCTACCTATCTGTGGGCCTCCTACAAACCCAGATGGTCCTAAATCCCGGCTTCTTCACGACCTCCACTTCCCTTTCGAGATGCTGGGGCCCCTGCACTGCCCACGGCTGCCCATTCGAGGGAAAAAGTTGAGGCACCTGCGGTCGGAACAACCCACAAGAGCCGCTAGTGACTAGCGGCTTCATCTGGGTTTGTCATCCAAGAACGATTTGATGATGGGTTTGCACAAACCGGAAACCAGCTGGGATTGTACATCTCAGGACCATCGGGGGGGGCTGTGGCAAAAAGAAGAAAAACAAAAGGGTGTTCAACCATCTTGTCTATGTATATAAACTGTTTGGGCCCAACGACCAGAAGCTGGGCTCTTCATACTAGGACCATCTTAGCCAAAATGGGGAAAGGGTCTATGTCCAACTCAGCCATAAATGTGCTGGACATGTCAAGAGTATCATGAGACAACCCCTTTTGCTTAACACCTACCGATGTACATCCTACAGCATCTGACATAGCATGCAAATAATCGGATGTCAGGTGTCCGCCCAGCGGCTTTTTCTGTCCAAAGCTACCATGGCTCCCTCTTGCTGAGTAGAGAAGCGGCTGTCTTTTTGAAGCGGCGACCATCAAAGCGTTGCAGAAATTGGAGCTCGAGACCGCTAAATCCTCCTGAGCACCGGTCAGGTTTACCCAAGCGTCCGCTTCGGGAGGCCGCGTCTCAAACGTCGACGGGGCTTGAAACCAATGATTTGTGTGGTTTGGGGGATGTCATTGGTCACCCGGCCAGCGTCCTGTCTTGTCACATGTTGTTGGTACCTCAAAAAATATTACATAGCTGCATAGAAGAAAACAAAAAAGGACTGGCAAAAGGTACCTTCTCATACTAAACACATCAGCTCCCAGCGAAGGTTCAGCTCTTCAGGCGTGGAAAAACAAACGCCTCACCTTGTGGGGTCGCCAATCTCGCACCAGCGACTCGTCAACTTCCTGGCAAAGCATCTGCTGACAACTGAGACCCAGGATGACAAACCACTGAGATCTCTGCCAAACCCATCCAGTCTTATGATGCTTCTAAGACTCATAGGGTGCAACACATGCGACCTAGTGAGACCTGCAGGTGGAAGACGAAGACTCCTAAGACTAAGACTCTTTCTACTTGATATTTCCGCTCTGGGATGGTGCCCTAAGCAATCATAGCCACCTTAGCCACCTGAAAGCCAATGTGCTTTTTTATTCATTCTGAAAGCCAATGAATGGTCGAATCGTTGCCAACAACAGTAAATTGTGACCATGGCTGAACGGTACGTCAATCTCCACAATGACTCCTTGGGCAAAGCTCCCTCTGTTCGTCGGACGGAGGAGATCGTGTTTCATGTCTGAACATCTGTGCAGATCTCGTCGTGCAGATCCTCAAAATTGCAGGTAAACTGATTCTCGAGATCCTTGTGATTGGAAAGAACTGGGTATCATCCAGGCCGATGTGCGTGGCCGCTGGATCATAGAAACTGTCAATTACCTTCCGTAGTTCTCTCGCCACTCATGACTCAAATGGCACAGACACAAGCCACCAAAATCCCAAAAAAGACTCGAACAAGATCAAGCTGGTTAGCCACCCAAATACCTGGAAACTGTCCGCTGTCATCTCTTCAAATCCAGCAGAATCTACAGTAGCATCCTTTCTAGCAGCTTCATGGGCACAACCTCGCAACTCAATCCCAACTCTCCCCTCGATCGAGGCCCATAGAATCCATACCAGCCATACCTTCTGAAAACGACCGGATCCCAGTCGCAGGCCCCCGCCGTGCTCCTCCTGCTGCCGGAGAAAGCTTCTCACCTCCACTGCGAAGTCTCGACGGTCCAGCAGTAGCGCCAGGCGCCCGCCGGTCTGGGCGACCGCGGGATCAACGGGATCCGCCGTTGCCCGGCTGTGTGGTGTGGCGGTGTGTGGCCGCGAACCGGAGCACATCTCAGCTCCACAGAGCACTCATGGCTGTGTGTGTGTTTTGCGGATGTTTTGGTTGAGGGTGAGTGGATCATGGAATGTCGGATCCATGAACATCAGCTTGGAACGAAGCTGATCGAAGCTGAACATCGGACGAAATCCAACGAAATCGGTCGGATTTCTCTTTCTGCGTTCATTGCTTTCACAAGAGTAGATCCACCGGTTTTGGGGGAATTGATCTAGAGTGGTGCAGGAGTTAATCATTCATATATATATATAGATGTGGCTGATGTGGCTGATGGTCTTTTTGCAGACCCCTGGGCTGTTTTTCGTCAGTCGATCAGCACTTTGCCATACCCACAGTGAATCATCATCTACCCTCCAAACACTCAAAATCATGAACAACATCTCTTCCCCAAACTCCCTCGCTTCAAGGACTCCGAGATCACGCGGTCACCCTCTGGATTGTGTCATTTTGAGCACCCAAACCTCCAGGCGTTCAAAGAGTTTGGAGAGGCAGCGCTGAAGAGCTATTGGCTCCTGAAACGAAAGAGGAGCACCAGCAAACCACAAAGTCAAACAGTCATATGGAGTTGCTCTGACAAAAGGACGTGGGACTTTGGAGGAGACAGAACCAAAAACTATGTGGCTGCATGGCTCATCGCCAATCAACCATCAACAACAGTACCATGCGATACTCCATCAAATGTTTTACACCCAATATGGTTGCAATTCTACTCGTGCTAAGTCCTAAGTCCCAAGTGCTTTGTTCTCTTGCATCGCGTTTCGCAGGCCTCTCTCCGCTGCGCACCCGGCAGGTTTGAAATATATCTTCAAGAGGCTTCTACCCCTCAAAAAGCCTCAAAGCCTCCAGAAGTGGTGGATCTGCTCCCTTGGGGGTCCAAAAAAGGAAAGGCACTTGTGGATACTGAGGAGGGGATGAGGGGGTTGTGTTTGCGTCTTTGAGGATCATGATGATCATGCCTGATGCTGCTTTCCTGAGTTGGCAAGGAAGATTCTCAGCAAGGAATGGTAAGCCTTCACCCTTGACACAAACTACCTGAACTTGGAGCTGAGGAACGTGTCTCAGTCTGGCTGTGGACCTGGGATTTTGATTGCAAAAGCAAAAAGCATCTCTCACAACCTTCGGTTGCTTGGTAATGCGGGTTGTCTCTCGTCTTTGAGGTTGGGAAGCACAGTGGAGATTCCAGGAGGTCTAGTCCAAGCATGCACATGTAGATGATATGTCTTCGATGTAAGAACATTCTGCCGGAGTGGAGGGTCGACACCACAACACCACTGGAGACTTCTCATACTAGTAGCTAGTAGCTAACGCTACTATAACGGTGTTGCGGCCAAAAAGAAAGCTTGGAGGCCATTCCTATTAGGTTCCTTTTGCTACAAGTAGCTGCATTCCTATTGGGCCATTCCAAAGGCTGGTGCTACAAGTAGTATTAGGCCATTGCTAGGTAACTAAGTAGCAAAGTGCCATTCCAA